CCTCAAACCATCTTCAGGTCCCACGCTAGATGCACCTGAGACCTCACTCTCACGTCCCAGTCAACAGCACACGTCATCTGCACCGTCTACGGACGAGACGATAGTCTCACGTCCAGATCAGCAGACCACGCCGCCCTTGACTTCGGATGAGATTGCAGGCTCACGCGACGCGAACGAGACTGCCGTCTCACGTTCCGGTCGCCGAGTACGTTTACCCGTACGCTTCCTCGACTAGTCGCACAGTCGACAACCGATACGGTGTAGGAATATTCCTATGCTACTTGCATGCTACACTCTTCTCTTTTTTGATTTTCTTTTTGTTTCTTGAGCCCACGCCTTCGATCATCTCCGTTTGGTTCCGTCGACTTCAGTCAACTTTGGCGAAAGCTGGCCTGATCACCCACGCTCTTGTCAACGTACGCAGTCGATATATTGGTTTCGAATGCTTGGCATACGCTTGGTCTCGAACTTGGTCGTTATGGTCGCTTCTGGTTCATCGGATCAACGTGGTTTCGTCCTACGTCTGCAGCGTTTCTGGTGCGCACCCCTACGAACGCCATCTTCAGATTCTGGATACAAACCACTCTGGTGTAGCATGCCAACTCAAGCAATAAATACAACACATCGCTCCTGGTACCGTTCTCCGAAAACGACCTACGTTGGCAACTCGACGATCAACGATCGCTTTCCTGTTCGCCAATTCTTCCGTCCTACAATCGCTCGTCAGCCGATCAGTCCCACGATTCAAGCCGCTATTTATCGAAAGTGTAAACCCTTTCTAGCGGGGGGCTCCTGTAGTGACTCACATTTATCACGAGAACACGACTGGTTTAATAAAAACAATTATTATTATAACCAACTGTACCAGTGTTTGTTTTAACGTGCTTTTGTTTGACTGTGCTAATGACAGCTATTTTGTGCTTCCATTCTTTTGCTTACACTTTGATTGTAACTTCGCGCGAATTCGGTTACGTTCTGTAACCAAGCTTGTATTCTGGCACGATCTCGGTATCCTTTCGATGCCACGAGATCGCCAGCGAATACATCTCGATTTGGTCCATTAACTGTCTTCTGATATTTGGCTTCTCGGAGATTTTATGGATTTATTTGGTTACGTTCAACCTTCGCCTTCTGATTAACTTGGCACGTGTTTCTTGATAGCGGTGTTCATAGTCAATTTCGACTCGACGCCACGCTACAATTGGTGAGCCCAAAGTTTGGAACACGCCTCAACATCTGGTCAAATCTTCCAAAGAAGCCAATTCGGTGAGTCTGTGATTTATCTATCCACGTCTGTCGTATATTTTCATATTTTTTAATATATAATATACTCGACATGACGGATAACGATAAGAATAGTATTAATATAATAGACTCACATGTACGTGTACCGAATCCTTGTTACTTTTTATTCGCGTGACGATGAATTCCACGCTTTATTCGAGAAAGTTTCCCCTATTAACTATTCTCCTCGCTGACCCGGCTGCTTGGTACGGAATGCATACGCATAAGCATATCTGTATACCACCCAGCACCAAATGGTTAAGTAAACGGTTTCACTGCCAACTTAAAAGTGCTATACGAGCACACGAAAACGGCAACTGGCACGAAACCTTACCGCTCTTTCTTTTAGGGATCAGAACGAGCTTAAAGGCAGATATCCAATGTTCCGCCACTGAACTTGTATACGGCACGACATTGCGTCTGCCCGGAGAATTCTTCACACCACGGAGCAGACCTAATTTCGGTAAATCAGACTACGTCCATCGACTGTCTGCATTTATGCGAACGCTGTCTCCGGTGTCAACTCGAATACAACATCGACAGGTCGCTCTCCCTCGAGAGTTATCTACCTGTTCACATGTTTTTGTACGAGTAGATTCGGTACGCAAACCTTGGCAACAACCTTACGAAGGCCCTTTTCACGTGATCGCTCGTCACGAAAAGACCTTCAAGGTTGATCGACACGGCCGCGTCGAGATCGTCAGCATTGATCGTCTCAAACCAGCACACGTCGATGACAGTGCCCTACCTGATAACCTGAGATTCAATGCTAGACCAAGCAAACCTACTAGCGGGATCCTCAAACCATCTTCAGGTCCCACGCTAGATGCACCTGAGACCTCACTCTCACGTCCCAGTCAACAGCACACGTCATCTGCACCGTCTACGGACGAGACGATAGTCTCACGTCCAGATCAGCAGACCACGCCGCCCTTGACTTCGGATGAGATTGCAGGCTCACGCGACGCGAACGAGACTGCCGTCTCACGTTCCGGTCGCCGAGTACGTTTACCCGTACGCTTCCTCGACTAGTCGCACAGTCGACAACCGATACGGTGTAGGAATATTCCTATGCTACTTGCATGCTACACTCTTCTCTTTTTTGATTTTCTTTTTGTTTCCTGAGCCCACGCCTTCGATCATCTCCGTTTGGTTCCGTCGACTTCAGTCAACTTTGGCGAAAGCTGGCCTGATCACCCACGCTCTTGTCAACGTACGCAGTCGATATATTGGTTTCGAATGCTTGGCATACGCTTGGTCTCGAACTTGGTCGTTATGGTCGCTTCTGGTTCATCGGATCAACGTGGTTTCGTCCTACGTCTGCAGCGTTTCTGGTGCGCACCCCTACGAACGCCATCTTCAGATTCTGGATACAAACCACTCTGGTGTAGCATGCCAACTCAAGCAATAAATACAACACATCGCTCCTGGTACCGTTCTCCGAAAACGACCTACGTTGCCAACTCGACGATCAAAGATCGCTTTCCTGTTCGCCAATTCTTCCGTCCTACAATCGCTCGTCAGCCGATCAGTCCCACGATTCAAGCCGCTATTTATCGAAAGTGTAAACCCTTTCTAGCGGGGGGCTCCTGTAGTGACTCACATTTATCACGAGAACACGACTGGTTTAATAAAAACAATTATTATTATAACCAACTGTACCAGTGTTTGTTTTAACGTGCTTTTGTTTGACTGTGCTAATGACAGCTATTTTGTGCTTCCATTCTTTTGCTTACGCTTTGATTGTAACTTCGCGCGAATTCGGTTACGTTCTGTAACCAAGCTTGTATTCTGGCACGATCTCGGTATCCTTTCGATGCCACGAGATCGCCAGCGAATACATCTCGATTTGGTCCATTAACTGTCTTCTGATATTTGGCTTCTTGGAGATTTTCTGGATTTATTTGGTTACGTTCAACCTTCGCCTTCTGATTAACTTGGCACGTGTTTCTTGATAGCGGTGTTCATAGTCAATTTCGACTCGACGCCACGCTACAAATGTATCTCTTCTTTTACTATTGGCGATTTTCGTTGACCGACTGACTGTTTAAGAACTCTGTTCGGAAAACCAGTTGGGAGGTTTGAACAGTGTATTATTCCACTTTATGATCAATATCGGTTTGAAATGATTTTGTCAACTGATTTTAAACAGCTACCTTAAATTTGCTAATATATGCAGATTATCTAACTGTCCGGTTCGTCAAATTTTTAAAATAATCATCAGTTTGATGGATATTTATATCGTTTATAAGTGTCGAAGGTATTAAATCGTAAACTCAGTATATTATTAAGATTATAATAGTTGCAACATAATTTTTCAAACAACCACAAACTTTCAGAGAGTCAGCTGAAACGTAGGACCAGGGACATATATGCATCGGTCCAAGTTACCATAGCTCATTAGCACAGCAAGATGAACACTGGATTCATAGAAGTAGTTAATTCAGCGGTAGCATTATATAAAAGAAAGATTGCATAGTATAGGAAGAAAAATTAGTTTTCATCTCATAGTTTAAATGAAGACAAAGAGTGTATACATCTTCGCCATTGTGATCAATTCAGAGCCATGTCACCAAGAGTCTCCAACCATTGATTACGATAGTCACGCAAACCCCAACCAAATAGTCTGCATCTACCAACATGGCTAAGCCTAGAAGTTAGTGACTTCAAGCACTGAGGCCATGTTTTGGTTAGGCCCCCCGAACTTTCTGCCAACCATCTCCAACATCGGTTAGCATTGCACGTCGTGGTAATCAGTGTTTGGGCATACGTAACATGTGGCCCAACCATCTCAGTCGATGAAGATTCACAACCTCATCAACTGATTTACCATCATTCCCTAATACCCTGCGTCTAACCTCACTACTACTTACCCGGTGATCCCAGCAGATACAAGCAATATTTCTAAGGCATCTGTGGTCAAATACTAGTAGCATACGAGTATCCTCTACTCTTAATGGCCACGATTCGCAGCCGTAAGTTAGAATAGAATGAACTGCCGCGCAATATACTCGTCCTTTAATTGATAGACGGATATCTCACCTTCGCCATAGGCGACGTAAGTTTGCGAAAGCCAAACGAGCTTTTCGAATCTGTGCAGAGGTTTCGTCAGACATCAACCCATTAGGACTGATCAGATTTCTAAGATAAGTGAAGTTGCCAACGTGTTCGACTACTTCACTCCCTATACTTAGTTCAGGTGTTGATGCAAGCCATTACTGGAGCAACAACTTTCAGAAAAATGTTTATAAATATACTCATACTTGACTGATCATGATATTTAATAATTTAAATTAGTATTATCGTATAAACAATTCTTATACCGTATAGAAATACAAAAATTACACTACTATGGCTTATGCATGAAAAACTGAAACGTAACTTTGTGTATGTTAGTGGGTGTGAAGAATGTAATATTTGTAATATTTGTGTGTCTATCACTAAGTAGTGCTAATTAACACATGATATCGTAAAGTAAGTAACTGCTATTTAAAAGACTGTGTTTGTCGAACTTCTATTCAAAAGGGCGTTGTCGTCGCGCATCAAATAAGGTATTCACTAAGGACCATCATTGTACTGGTTTTTCCCTCTTCAAAGTAAACCATTATATACGGATAAAAAAACTGACAGAATTAATGGTATAGTTCTACTTTAAACAGACTCAAAATCAATTTATTGTCTTTTAGTTAACTGAAATTCCTTAATTACGTGGACTTTGCGACGACAAAATGATTACCATTATTTTATTAAAAGTCTGATGATACGAATTAAAACTTTTATGGTTTTAACTAAAAAATTGTACTAATTCGGAGTTTTCAAAGTTTAAATTCTTAAATTTTTCGAAAATATATATCCCCCAGTATTCAGTGATAATCAAAGTAATAACTGCCTTTGGAATAATCTCAGTGACATTTTACACTGAATGCTTGTCCATACATTTTTAAACTTAAATTTCATGCAAAATCAAAATGTTAAACGAGGTGGACCAGATGAACTATTTAAACAGTTTAACAGGGTTTATATCTGTAAGTAATTTCAACTGACATCAAAAGACGTTATTCTACTATTTGTTGTCAGTGCATGCGTCTATATAATAGCTTCACTATGTGTATTTTCACTTTGGTAATAGGTAAAACGTTTATGTCAATATCTAAAGTATATATTTCTTCACTGAATTCTTAATACTAATAATCATACACAAGTACATACGTCTCATATGTGATATCTCGTTAACATACTACATCAAATGACTTTCATTCACACCGAACACAAGATTAACTGTTCAATGTGTTTAGATGACCGTTCAGTATTGACTTACTTTAAAATCCATTTATCAATAAAAAATCAGACCACTAATATTCTAACTTTTCCTGAAAATTAGTTCAACAAAACTGATTGTCTCTATTCACCAATAATTAAAGTTTGGTCATATAGAAAATTCATTTCCCCAAATTGTTGAACAGACCAAGAATTTTCTATACAGCTACAGTACGAATCATCCAATGAAAATCACCCATTCTCCATAGAACTCAATTAATCATATTACAGTAAGTTCAGTTAAATCACATAATCAGAAATTGAGCTAAGCTTGACAATGAGAACCATAAGTACAGCAAACCAAGACTTTGATTTTCTTAAGTATGTCAAGTTGCATTATTTTTGTTCAGTAAATAACTGAAAATACAAAAAACAGCTGCTCAATGTTAATAATACTTGTTTCGACACGTTTCTTTAGTTTATGGGCTTCATTTGACATAACGTTCACTTAATCCAGTAGTTTATCTTCAGACATCAAAATCTGATGTTTATCCATGAGTTATATTTGCATTAAGAATTTTGAGAATAATGTTAATATGTCTTACATCACTAAGAATACGAACATGCTCCGCTCCAGGTAATATGTAATATTTAATTCCAGGCCAATTTTTGCAGTATTCTAAGCTTCGTATGCCGACTGTCCCATCTCCGTCACCAGGAATTAATAAGGGTACTTGATCTGGGAAACCACTGTAAAAATAACTGGGTGCAGAATAGGAAATTTTTTCGGTAGTGGATAAACGTGAACCATGAATACAATAAATATCATCAATACCAGTAGGCATTTCCAATCCATCAACAAGGGAGTGAGTATCTTTCCACATTTGGTAGCCTAGAAGCTCATTATGAACGAATAGGATAGAAACCAAAATAGAGAATTAGAAAAATAAATGTAAAGATGACGTAGTGTGAAGCTTTTAATAGTTTAAACATTTTCTTCAGTATCCACTTTTAAAAGAGACCTTTTAATACTTCAAAGTAGGTTTGTTAGAACTATTTAAAACTATTCATGAATATTCTGAAAACTGAGGCAACAAAGTCTGAGTTCGAAATAATTTCTATCTATGAATATAACATCATGAAGTCGACTGGGAAACGCTTTCCGTGATTATGGATAAACTGTGAATTCATAATGGTTTTGCTCTTAGTTTTCACGTGATGTGTAAGTTATGGTTTGTAGATATAGTAGCTAGTGTTGTTTTGATAAAATATGAGTAACAAAAATAACTACCAAATTAAGGTAGTAACAAATGAAAAGAGAAAAGATAGTCACATACCAATAGTGTAATTTATATCTTTGAAGAAACGCTCGTAATCAGCTGAGCTATAGTTTGTTGTAGGTGTGATAATAAGTGGCTCCGATGATGGCCATAAACGAGAATCAGGAAATAAGAAAGGAAGAGATGGCATAGAACGTTGAACGTGTCGAAAACTTAATGGACTACGCAGAAATACCCCAAAGTTATCACCTGAATTAATAGAGAGAACAAAAGAAGTTGAGCATAACCTATAAGGCAATGCAAGACCAATATTTCAATTAAAAAACAACTAGAGAATAACGTGAAAATTGCAAAGCATTGTCTGTCCATCTTAATGAATCATCTCTCTAGTAGTATTATTACCGCATTTGAATAATACCCTTTTATATGAATAAGTTTTTATAAAATATTATGTTTACATAGTGAATGTCATATAATTTGAACATTATACAAAAATTTGAAGTGACATGATAATCACAACAACGAATTGTTTCACCATTTATTTCTCACACTCCATTACGATCTCTGCTTTTTTGTTGACTCGGAGTTAATCTCCAGTTTTTTTAATTGAAGTGTAATTGACATTTGATGTATATAGTTTTTCATCGTAAACGTATTATCTTATTAGAGATAATGCTGTATTTTATACTATAATATCTCAGATTATCGTTAAAATGAGCTATTCGGTAAAGTAATTCACAGGTAATCAGCCTAAAAAGTAACCATATCATGCTTATAAAACATTTGCCGATAAACTTTCGACAAATATGAAATATTGTTTTTTGTAGTTTATTAATAGATATATGACAGTATTATGTAGACATTTGTATTTACTTACATGCCACTAAATATAATGAAAGGTAAGGAACTCATTGAATACCGTGATTTCATGACTTTTTGTTTGAAATGCCAAGATTTTCTGTAAAGACTTCACAATCTTGATTAGTGTAAAACATGAAATCACTTAATATCATGGTCGTTTAACCAATTAATCTTCGGATTAAAATGGGTTTCAGCCTTATCACATACACATATTCACCAAACCTGATATCTGTTTATTCAATTGAGATTAAAAATTAAAACACAACTAAATTATTATATTTATTTTGTCATTAGAGGATTTGTAGCTGCGCGTAACTGGAGCAATTATACTTTGCTCTTGAGTAAACGATATCGTAAAGAATACTAGTAGTAAAACAAACTCAAATCCACTAGGTATTTGTGATTTTTGTCAGCATTATCAAAGTTTACACTAACTATGTATGAATAACCATGCATATTTTCATTTATTACAAATATAAACAATTTCTGGAAGTCATTGTAAAAATGAAATACACAGGGAAAGGAGTCTCAAATCAAATAACCTAATGATAAAAACTTATTGGGTGAAGGATATTTAAGTTCTATTGAGGATTTTAATTTTTTCAAGATTTTAAACATCTAACAGCTGATTCAATAAAACATAGATTTAGAGCTTAATGATGTACATGTCAGAATGAATTATTTTTAAGTAAATTAATAAACAACTAGGTATTCAGTTTGTATTGTGTCTGAATGTAGTTTTACAATGAATCAATTTGATATATATTTAACTTCTTAATAAAATCTATTCAGCGGTTTGAATAAAGAAGAAATGACCGAAAAATCGTTTTTCTCTAGTTAGGGTAAAGTATTATTTCATAGTTTTCATGTTCATGTATATTTCAGGTTACAAATTTTAATATTTCTGAATAATGATATAATAGAAAGTAAGTTATACTCATGTGCCTTTTTCATATATAACCTATCCAGCATATATATGTATTTTAATTATTCACTTTCCAAACTTATAATTTAAGTCTATTCTATTTAAGAGTATCATTTCTTAGAAATGAACATTACTGTTTAGTGAAACATGCGTTCCCTTCAGTAGTATTTAAAAGTTTTAACTTTAGCCTATTTTTACTCATGAAGCTGATATAGAACTGAGTAGTAGGTCAAACTTAAATGAATTTAAGGCTTTAACAAGATCTGCAATACTTGTCTAAATAATAATCTTTTTTTTACTAGAACGCCAGCATTTTATAATTCATCAATAAAACATGGTTATCATTTATCCAGTATACTAAACAATGGCTTGATACTCACCAAAAGCTAAACTCCCCAAATTTACTGACTAAACTAAAAATTTCTTTACAACAAATAATTAGTTAGTTACTTTGTGTTTTATGGATATTACTCACTTTTAAGAGTTTCTATGTGAATATTAATGAGTGTAATCTTTCTGTTTTGAGAGTTGTTATAAATATGGTTAAATCCGATTATTTCATGGCCAGACTAATTTCTTAAACACTTCGCTGTCAGCATCAATTTTTAAAACGTACTTACCACTAGCTTCAATCTTCACTGTTTTCACAGAACCCCCGAATGGACAGCTGGAAAACACCAGAGATTTTATATACTTCTTTTTCCATGGAATATCGCATTTTTTCAAAAACCACTGAGCAAATAAGCATCCCATACTATGTGGTAGTAGGACAACGGGTCTTTGTTTTGCATTTTCATAAGTTTCCTCAATCAAGGCTTTTAATTTGTTGAAGAATTCACCGTTTTCATCTAAAACGTTAAGTGCGTAAAACTCTTCTATAAAAATGTCTTACTTGGGGCTTTTCTAAAATCATATGGTGCACCTCTCATTGTAAAATTTGATACATAAAACGGATCTTTTCTTAGAGCATTAACCAATGAACCAAAATATTCAGAAAACATATTTGGTCTTTCATCTAGATTCTCAATTGACCATGTTTCACCCCATCCTGGAAAAATAATGTCAACACCTTCAGCATCATAACTATGACCAGTTTTTGGATCATACTGTAATCTAGAATAGAGTTGTTTTATAATTTCCAGATTTTGTATGACACAAAAAATAGACATTTAACTAACTTAAAATACTCAGTAAAATGTTTTATAAACGCAAAAAATTCCAAATTTAACCATACAGGTAGCGCTTTATGATTGGGATCATTCTTCAGCACGGCAAAAGCTTGACACCCAGCTGTTCCGGGGATCATAACTAATGGATATTGTCCATTGGATGTTGACTCAGAGTTAACTTCCCAGGTGATCAAACTAAAAGTAAAAATTAAAAACTATTACGTTTATTTGTGTACATTGAAACAATTTCAAAGACACCTACTAAATTTAATTGTAAGTTAAGCTTATGCATTTGTACGATAATATTTAGATAAGTAGCGGGTATATATATATATATATATATATATATATATATATATATACACCACCGTCTCAAGTATTTCAATGATAAAATACAACACAGCTTAGAAGTAATGGCTTACATCTTATATATTAGCACCTAATTATTTAAGAACTTTGATACTTGTCTTTTTGAAACATGATTTCTTTGATACAAAGTGTTCTCTGTTAACAAAATCAAATGACTATTTCACAAGGTTAAACCTTAAAATACAATAAAAATCTAGTTGTGATATTTTTTGATTTCGGAGACAAACTTTAGCATTGTTTCGATAACAATAATCATTTTTGGTAATAACTTAATTTGTATCAGAATTATATAGAAAAATTTTGAAAGAGCAGTTTATAATTCAATTTAAGTGATTAGCAAACAGAACAATAACAGATCAAAGTTAGCAAGTTAGCAAGAATTGAATTGTTATTAAATATTCTCACTTATAACATTGAATATAAATGTAGTTACTTACTTACTTGCTTACGCCTGTCACTCCTAATGGAGCACAGGCCGCTGACCAGCATTCTCCAACCCACTCTGTCCTCCACCTAGAGTCCCTCCGGGGGCTACTGCCGGTCCCAAGCCCGGATAAAGGAGGAGGGTTGGGCATGTGGTTAGCGGCCCCATCCCGTAGAAAACTAACTCGCTAAAAACGCTAACAAGAATATAAATGTGTTTGTTATTAATAGCCTTTGTGTTGAGTTATTTTCCTTTGACGTAGTTTGTCTGAATGATAACTAACTATATAGATATAACAATTTTGTTCTGGTTAACTTAAAAGAGTCTCTTTCATGTGCTCATATGAAGGAATTTCAGAAATCTGGGCAGCTATCCAACTAAAATGTCGTTATCACGATAGGAAGGCTATTATGATTAACCAATTCGGGAGAAAGTTTTCATCATTGACTAACTTTATCTTAAAAATCATTGAAAACCAGGCAGTATTAGCCAAAAGTTTTATCATAGATAGGAGTCTATAGCATTATTTACTCACCAGGTTTCACACCTAGAGCCTCCAGATACCCCGTTTAAAATGTTATTTATAAACGACCAATCTAGTGCCCGATGGTTCACCTTTCCAACCTCAGTTAGTTCGAGATATAACACGGTCGTCATTCATTGCCGTCGGTTGTATGTATACAGAAAATAGTGAAGATTGTTTATACGCATATAGCTAATATTTATTTTGCAAAAAGTAATTAGTGGATGATAAACCTTTAATTAATGAACTATCAATGAGTTTAAGTTGAGTCATATAAATTACATCATAAGTATGCAGTGATCATTTTCTCGGTAAATCTCAATATTATTGATTGTCGTATCTTGATCAAACTAAGATGAAACTCATTCTCACTGAACTTACTGAGTTCACCGACGTCTCATTGCTGAAACACTTGAACTCGAATATGAATAATGCAAGCTAGAAAGTTAACTGCCACAATACAAATCGACTTCAGACCAGTCACACAGTAACATCTGATTTCAATGCTCAATTTTGTAAATCTGTTTAAGAAACAAATGTATGGATCAGCCACTTGAAATTATTACGTATTCGAAGTGCGAGCTAATTTTCTGTATTCTAATCAATAGTTGAGCCATTCTGTTTCCCTCCAGACAATCTATTCAGTTCTCTTTGTTTATCTATTCATTTACTGATCTACTCTCATAAATTTGACACATTTTATTGAACTATGCATCCACTGTAACAGATCGTGAACAGATTATTGGTGCTAATCAAATTCAGTGAGAGACAAATCGATATGTAATCACCAAAATGTGATCATGCTTGTCATAGACATGGAAATAACTCGGAGAAATAAATGACGGAGGGAGAGAGACAGAGATAAGAAATGCTAAACCACATGTTTACGGATAGTTTGCGTTATGTACAAGGTGTTATCTGTTTAATAAAATCAGAAGACTACATGAAATTCCAATTCAAGTTATGTAGTTGTTGATTTCTAATGAATTTTCTATCGGTTTCTTCCAATTGAAAATTGACCTTCATTGAAGCAACAGTGAAAGCATAGAAACTGAAAGTATGTCGATATAGTGAGTTGTGGAATCTGTCGAATTATTAGCCTCACATAATGGACTGGCTTCGGTTAGACAATCGGTCGATACCTGAGAGCCTTGAAGTGTTGTTTTGTCATGGTATGGGATAAGAAATGTCATGCTGTTACAGTCGATCGACTGAAGTAACATGAAGTGACTAAGTGACCACAGCTCGTGAAAATCTAGTTGGTGGTGTAAGCTCCTATCCCAAACTAACTAGAAACAAAAATATAACTGGTTGACGAAATAGTTTGTTTTTGCTTGACAAAATAATCTGGATGTAAGCAGGAAATACGACGAAATGGAAGCGATTGGAACTCACAGATTTTTTGATCGATTAGGATGCAATGGTGTTTGGAGCTCTTTGGTTATACAATAAATATATCTTTCCGAGTTCCAGATGATTTATATCTCTTCTAAACAGTCCATCAATCTCGTGAATTGTCTGTTTATAATATATTTAAGGATAAATAAAGCAAAACACAAAGGTTTTGATGAACACGGTATTATTTTCTTACAATGATTGACATTTTAGCTATTGGAAATATTATCCTTAGTAAACTAAAAACTAATCAAACAATAAATGCACGGTGGTTTCAAGCATCCTTCATTTAATGTGTTTTTTTCAACTTACACTTATACTCTTATTTTGTACTCAAATTCAGTCTTTACGATTGGTTATTTTCCGGCACTCGTACTAATGTAACAGTATGTTTATGAAGAGAGTTAAGCAGTAAATGGTGTCTACAACTGGGCTGTCAAGAGATATAAATTGAATATTTTTTGTCAACTAAAATAGCTACATTATTCTATCAGTTAACTGTTGATCAGTCACATCATGGTGCACTATAGAGTTTTGGTTATCCAGTGATTAAATATGACTATTTTGACATGTAACACTTATCTACTGAAAATTACTCATTAGAAAGGTTAATCAAGAAGTAATAGTAGTAGTAGTGTGGTGTGTGCTACTTATATTTACATAAGTAGTAGATGGTGTTAGTCGTGAACAGAATGTCTGGCAGCAGAGAGACAAGAGGATCGAACAGTAAAGAATGGAAACAGAATGCAATTTGTATGAAAATGCAAAAACAATGAATTCTGAGTCATTATGAGACAATTGATGGAGATTTTGCAAATTAAGTATTTACTATTTGATTGTTAGATTTCATTAACAAGTCCTGTGATTTTGTGTTGAATATATTCGACTGTCCCCAGTGGTGTTCTTGTTCACTACAGTATTAGTAGCAAGCTTATGCCTTTGTCGAGGTATATGGACCACTAGAATCAGATGTATTTAAAGTTAATTTTTTGACGTATGGAAGTTTATTTTACCTGTCATAAGATTGAGATCGTTACTTTTGTTTGACCCCCTGACAATGGCTGGCTAAACTGCTGGGAAAAAGAAGTAAGACAATATTATTTGATTATTCCACGTTGCGACTTCAAGTTACTGTTAGATGAGAATTAGAGGGAAGGCTGTCTATTGCTTCGTGAAATAACCATTCATCTTGGATGTTTATGGGATTTGCTATAGCACATCGTTCTACACAAACAAAAACCTTAAATGCTTACTTAGTAAACTCCTAATGGCTTATCCAATACAAAGAACCTAGTAGTCAGTATAGTAGTAAGCAACGACAACAATATATCACTATCGAAAGTTTAATGATCTTCTGAAATAAGATCTAAGCAAAGATAAAGAGTGAATGCATCTGCTCCACTATTTCTAAACTCAAAGCATTAAATGAAAAATGGAAATCTATTTTCAAAAACACCATTTGTTTAATAATTAAGCGTAACAATAAAAAATGATAGATTAATAAATGGTAATTTCTAAAACCGTATATTTATCCATGGATGGAATTATTTCAAATTAGGATAGGAACTACAAAATGAGAAATGTTTTCAGGGTATAAAATCTATAAGACAAGTAGTTGTTGAGCATAAAATAAAATAGGTTATGAAAAAGTAAACAACAATAGTAACTGTTATTCTTAGCAATAGAACGGAAAACTTTCCAAATAATGGGAATTATAGTCTACGTTTAGAAAAACCAGAGATCCAAATAAAATTCACAGCCATGAATTAGTTATGTTTACGTAATTTAGTTTACGCATAAAATGACAAATCATCGTTTAAGATTTGATGAACAGATTCAGATAATTGAATATTTATTGTTTGTTTTACTGCATCATTTTCAAGAAATAATAAATGATCAAGTAGAAACCCGGTAGTCACATCGGAACAATAAGATTTTAAGCCATTTAGTATTGTTAGTTCACCAGATTGATTTTTTTCCAAAATACGTTTTTGATAAAGATAGTGATATGCATTGTGAAATTCTTTTTCTCCAAGTTTGTAGATGCAGTATCTGAAATACAAAGGATATATTTTTAATATAGATATTACTGAACAATTTTCGATTATTTGTTAGTGTAGCATGAATAAATTATTTGAACTTAACCTTCGCCATCACTTGGATGATGGTTTAGAAGTTATTTCTCATCACGGATAAACCGAATTTCATCCCTTGTAGGGTCCCTCGGGTGCAATTCTGAGAAGCGCCAAAGTAAGATGAAACAGCTATCTAGTGCTCCTCAGTTTCAATGGTTTCCTGGATGGTGTTATTAAGCCACTCACAATAAATATAGCACCTGACCTGATACAGCAAGATGAAATTAACAAGTTAAATAACGAAGGACTTAAAATAATAATAATATTATTACTGTTAAGACTAAGCATAGGGAGATGGTTGAAAAAGAGAGGCAAACCTAGCAGAGTAAAGAAGTATGAAGTAGTATAGGAACTGAGGATCTATTTAATGATCAATAATCAGTGATCCCGTGGACTGATGCTATATTTTACTCTGATTGGTTCAAGTTTTCTTTCAAGTAACTTCTATCCCAAGCAGCATTGTACATCAAGATATGTGATGGCCGGTCAAACGTAGCACATAGTGCAGTCATATGAATCCATGGATATCAATTCCTATTGTTGACCAGTACCCTACAGTTAACTTCATTATTGCTTATTTAGTCGTTATTCAATGATGAAAACTACAAAAATCGTCTTCCTCATTATTATGATAATCGTAAATGACCGTATCGAATTCTAATACTCAACCTTTATGTAAAATGTACGATACGTTTTATTACAAGCTGAATATGTATGGAAAGATCATAGTATGAAACGTTAGAAAAATGTGCCACGTTTCGGTTTAAGAAATTGCTAACACAGCCGTTGTTCAGTAAACTACAAGCTTGAGAAATATCAACCATTTGAATTTATTTACTAATTTGATTTTATTTGCTAATACGAATCAGTTATGCTTTAAAAAAAGAAGTGGTTTCGAAGATGGGTAATTAAACATTTACAAAATTAGAATTAAATGGACTCGATCCTCCTGTATAAATTCGCGAATATCTATAACTGTGGATAGTTCTAATGATTAAGGTTTTGTAGGAAAGTTGTTTCGTGACATTTATATGATTGATATACAAATTTAGAAAACTTGAAACTATGGAACAGGTAATTCTCTTTAGATAAATCAAACTAACAATTAACGGCATCATCGATTGATTGAAATTAAAAAAAGACTTTAAAATGAATTTAGTGTTATTATTTGTTAAAGGTAAAGGACTTTTGGCATTGTTTCAAAATTATTAAAGTTTATGCAGTTATAAAAGTATAAATTATTTTAAATTTAGAACAGTAATTTTCCAAATATTAGTTGTTTGAGTTTTCCAAAGTTTATTTATTACTTTGAATTGATTTATGTTATAATTGAAAATTGTGTTATTGTAATTATCTATTTTATACTGGATTGTAATTATCAGTCTTCCTGCTTTTTTTTGTCATACCGAGTATGTTTATCATAAAAATGAATTTCGATAGCAGTTAGCCAGCACATTATGAGCTTATGATGAACTTATTGTATTCATTTATGAAGCCAATGAATTTTTATTGAAATAATTTTAAAAGAACAAGACTTCTTTGATGTGATTGTGAATAATAATATTAGCAACCAGTGACTAAAAACAAATTAGATAGTAAAAATACCACCCGATTATTTCTTTATTGTTTGACAGTGGTTTTGTTTTCTCCTTTCAAAAAATATTTCTTGCTCATAAAGGATGGATGGGATGTGGCTATGCGTCATGTTTAAGAAGCACGTTTCGTCTTATTTAGGACTCGTCAATTGAATGCACCTGCATTTGTTTCTTGTCAGTATAGGGGTTGTAGAGAGTGTTTGTCTCAATATCATTTTGGTAGATTAGTCCGAAGTTTAACAATTTTAACCGATGAATATTTTATACAACATTTTAGAATACTAAGTTTATCTCTTCTTATGATTACAAACATGGATACACACAGCCACTTCGAGAACTGATGAAATATTTTGTAAAATAATTCAAAAACTGATAAGGCACGTCAGTTTCTTTGTAAATCATTTTATGCAATGTCATAAATTTGATGCTGCTAGCTATACAAAACACAAGTTATTAAAATCAATAATAATGCTAACTTTGTCCTACAGCCAGTTAGTCATGATAAAAGTAGAAGCTGGTACGCATGTCCGTTCGGTTAACATATAAGCATGTCGAGAGAAATTTAAAAAGACGAAAAGCAAAACAATCGAAATCATACAGTATCAATGATGATAGAAAAAATCGGACACTGAGAATAAAATTCCAAAAGACAGAGTGGAAAAGTATTTGTGAGGGAATAGTGGAGATCGAAATATAGATAAAGGTAATGAGCGAATGCACCTGCTCCAGTTTGACCGCTTCTAAGTAATATCATCCGAAGTCTTCGACTACTAATGACGGCTATCGTGTGGACCCCATTATCTACCCATGTGACTCAGATTAATAGATAGTAATTTCAGAAACTGATAACACGTTTAAGTGTGAACGCTTTCAGTTTTTTCTGATTCACTCTTATACTGACCAACATCATGCGTCAAGGTAGCAGTTGGTTAAGTTTCGGAGTAACTAAATTCAAGATTGATCGTAAACATTTTAAAAAAGCGAATACACGCAGCAACCAGACTCAATAAACTCATTTAAACGATTTCAAAATATGAAAATTTATGGAAACAAATTTACGTTTGGAAATCGGTAACCCAGAGGTTTGAGCATGGCACTGCTTCATTGGTATATAAACCATTGGAGTGTTAACACTTCACGTATTAATTCACAGTTAATCAAAAGAACTAATAAGCGACATAGTTTAAAAAAATATGAAAAATAGTTTGATAAAATGAATTATAGTGCATACTTTTTTAAGGCATCAATTCTTTTGGCTTTAGCCTCTGGACTAAATATGGTCTTAGCTTCATCATCCAAGACTATTGTATTACTGTCTAAAAGGTTAATATAATGTTGTATATTTACATTTAAAGAATAAAACTGTCATCATAAAAATATACCCCGATCAAATCAACAAAACGAACCCAGAAAGATTATATTTTTGCTATATGCATGATATATTTTCTAGTTAAAAAAACAATAGTGAAGCTTAGAGCCTACCAGAAACGTTTAACAGAGTCCCCTAATCAATCACTTTCACTAAGAAAAAAGAAAACTGTGGCGTTTTATTGACGAAAAGAACTGGAGGGAAAATGAGGAAATATGTTTATCATAAACCGTCTAAATGAAATAGATATACACATTTTTCAGCTTTGTCCCAATACAATATAAAAGAAACTTAGTCAAGTACATAGCTCACATAGCCAAAATTACTTGTCATGATGAACTCTTCAAGATGAACTGAAATTTATTCATGATTTACTGAGTAAATCCGAATCCCCATAAAATATTTTAACGAAACAAATGTCTGGAACTAAACATGAGGTCAAATTACTGACAGTACCGAATGAAACTTTGTTCTCGAAATTACAGTTATAGAGTGATATAGCCAGAGAAATGGTCATTCGTCGAAAATGAAAAAGTGCAGGACGTAAATTCAACGCAATTATATTATGCCCTTCCTTCTCGAACCGCTCAACAGTGAGTTAGCGAAATAAGAATGAATTGCCTAGTTCTTCTGTTTCTATAAGTAGTTACCACTTCAAATACTCTTGCTCTTAAATGCACAACGAGACAAATGCATCATCATGTTTCTAAAAATCACCTCTCATGGTTGACCAAAAAACAAAATAAAACACTATAAAGTTCTACCTGGTCACATTTATTTGATAAGTCATCACGTTGATAAAAATTCAGCTTTTAAAGTTATTTAGAGAATCTCAAAGAACTTACCCTATGATTCCAGAATCTGACTCTTGCACACACTAGAGGCTATAGGAACACATGTGGATAAAAATAACCTTTGTAAACAGCGAATTTTTATACATTCTCTTAATTGCTACTATGTTTTATCCAAAAAGTGTCTTTCTTTAACTTAATTTTTAATTTTAATCCAACTTAACATTTTTAATAATCTCGTTACCCAACTTTCATGCACTCGTCTAATTAACTACTCATTGTTAATCCCAGATAACAGAAAAAAATCCCATTTTTACTCTTACATAACAAGTCGTGATAAGTAACTGACTACGAAACCATATTGTTAATTTGTACCTTTCACTAATTACAACTGGCTGTCGCTAACCGACCTATTTCAAACATTACAGAACATTTAGTCATATAACATGAAAATTATAAGATCATAACATAAATTTAAACTATTCTGTGGTCCAACCTTCAGGGTGACACAAAGCTGCTTTCATGCAATCAAGTACATCGTTTAATGTTTCAGCTGAATCTACATTATCTTGATTTTCTATATCTTCCAGATCATTTTGAAGAATATTTTCATTTTCTATTAATTCTTTTAAATCCTCTTTATTGAAATTGTTTGTATAATTTAACAGTTCATTATCATAATTTGTGTAATAAGTTTCCATTAGTTGGGTATCGTCAGTAAATACTAAAATAAATTTTTTCGAAAAATGAAGTAAAATTCATACGAGTACTAAAACAACAATTATCAATAAGATTAGTTGAAACTTTAATTATAAATCTTATTAAAATTGCCAAACATGATTTATATTGTTATTCATTTTACCGTCATAAAATTAGGTCGGGTTATGAAAATTCGACCTGAGGCCTCCTTGTGGCGCTGCTTGGTAGTAGGGACAACCCTGTTAGCTAGCTTTGGCGGAGATCGGACTAATTCGCCAATCTGCTGTATCTGGATCACTTAGTATCCCGACCTCCAACCCCTCAAATCTTCAGAGCTGCCCGATGTGTACCCTCATGTATATGATTTACACAAGCGTCAGCTTATGTAGCTTTGTATTTTGACATGTACATAGGGTACGCACTGGACTAGCATAAGCGAAGAAATTTTAAATGTCTGCCCTAAGTCTAATAAAATCAGCGGCCTAAACCAGGTTGAAGACATTACTGAAATAAAAAGTCACAAAGTTTACTATCAACCCTCCCTGAGAGTGCTTATGCGCATGTGCTTATCATGAAGTGCATGGACGAAAGTCTATGTACCTATGATATTCATGTTATGTGTAATAGACAGCCTATTGTATTAAATACGTTTGAAGGGATTAGTGATCACCTACGCTCCTAGGTGAGTAATTATACTTATTTGTATGCCATTGGATTCATAGGCGAAAGCTCATGTGCTACTGATAGGGATGCGACATACATACGTGGAAAAAAACTGTGTAGCTTCAATAACTGTAGACTTCTCTGTGTAACAAGCTAATTCCATAATTTGCATACTTACCACTATTACATTTCAATTTAGAGCTATTAATATCACTCAGTTGTCTTGCTGATTGTGCATAATTTTGATTTAACATTGCTGGAAACGTAAATTGTCGACGTATAAACAAAGCTTCTTGATTATTATTACCCTTTTTAATAATATTGAGGTTATTATCAATATCAACTTGTTTTTTAAATTCATCCATTGTGACATAATCATAAATTGGACTAGTTAATCTAGGTGAAGGATAAAAATTTTTTATTTCAGTAAAACTCATATTGTTGGTTAAATCTTCGATTTCTTCATTTCTATGTTTTGTAGAATTCAAAAAATTAAATGTTCCAAGACTTTCATCTTCAGCACCTGGACCTTTACCTGGCAATTTTTTATTGTCTAGAAATAAAATAAAAAATGGTAAGTATATTGAATAGAAAATCTACTTCACAAAATTACTTACCAGGTGATCGTAAAAATACGTACCATTTATAATATTTTTAATTGTGATCAAAATCCCTGAATATACTTAACTAATTAACGGCTCTGTATGGAAACCATCTATAAATTCATGCAACTTACCAACATCTCTCGATGATTTCAATCATTTTGCATATCACATGATAGATAATTTAACACTTTTGACGTCTACTGATTTTCACTTGTTTTATTTAGTCTAAGATCTTGACTGTTGAATGTTTAAATTCTATCAGTAATTTATTTTGAACATAAATACCATAAAGAGCAAGGTAATGTTACTGAACTGGGTGATAGTACTTCATCCTATTGCCATGTTTTGAATATCTATGGAATGAGATCACTAATTTTTATTGACTAAATCATGTAAGTTTGTAGATGTGAAAATCCTTACACAGTGAATTATAACAAGTTCCGGTGAAATCAGTAATATGACTGTCTGTTTACTCTTCGTTACTTTTATTTATCAGCTTTTACATATTCTGTGTCAATGGACAAATGCATCATAATATACACACGAATAGTAAAACAGGTTTAATACTTATTTCCTTCAGTGAAGCGCCATATTAATTCGCGACGATCATAGTTAATAGATTTTTTCACGATTGTATGTACCTCTTCTTAACAAGTATCAACTATTACTGAGCCGAGAACCACAGCTGCTTTCCGACTGCTTACAATCACCTAACATCATCTCACAAGCCTTACAAACTTTAATCAAAGTATCATTAAGCTAAAATTAATTAATTAACAACTTATGGAGCTGAGTAGAAGAAGCCGAATTATAGGTGATCTGTTAAGCGGTTAGAGACTATTGGTAGAAAACCCTAGTCGTGCCTTGTCGATACTAATCAGTGAAGTGCGCTTGGTATTTGAAAGGATTCATTTTTTTGTGAAATTTCAAGCGATATCCTTTAATATCACAGTTAAAGGCATTATCATTGACTATTGGAGACATTATTGAAATTTCGCATGACTTAGATGTTTAAATAAATTGATCATTAAGTAACAATCAATTTCATTATGTTTATTCATGAATGATCAGTTAATTTATTTGGAAATAGGTGGTGAATAAAATTATGAGTAAACGTCAGATGTTCTTCCTTGTATATCTTAGTAACATGTCAATAGATCAACAGAAGACTACATAAATCTGATAACATCTACATTTTTCTCTCAAATTCAGTTATTATTTTTGTATAAATCGGAAAAGTTTGTAGAAAAATCATGTTACCAACTGATCTTAGTTAGACAGTCGCTGGAAACTAGGAGCACCGGACAGATGTTTTCTCCTAGTATAGGAATCTTCGTTAGTACACAAGCACTACTCGTACTGGGATTGAATCAAAGACCTTTAGTTTTGTCATCTAGTGTTTCTTGATTTTTACTGATTGTTTAACTAAGATCAGTCCGTGACGTAAAATGTGGAAGTTAGACAATTTTCTCAAACCCTCTGTGTCAGTAATAATCATGTGCTCACCTAAAGACCAGCATCAGGTTGCAACTGTTGGAGTTCTAATGAGATTATGAGACCACTGGCGTTCAGCCATATCGAGCATGAGATTTTATCCACCAAAGGCAATGGAAAGTGATTGCTTATTCTTGCGACTTGATTGAAGTTAGACATATACACAATTGGATTTCAGCCAGTGGTCCGAAGGTTAAGCACTCACCACGAGACCTTAAGGGTTCTTGGTTCGATTTCAGGTACAGTCGTCAGTGTACACTGCTAAAGAGTCCGACACTTGGATGAGACAGCTGTTCAGCATCTCATGGTTTCCAACGGTTTTCTAGCTAAGATCAGTCGGGGATGTAAACTATGAAAATTATATTAATAAGTGTTGTCTAGATTAAAATATGAATTAGAATTTATTCACCGTTTAAATCTGATTTCTTTGACCAAAATAAATCACCTTCATTTTCCAAATCATCATCTAGTTCATCGATCAAGCTTGTTTCATTGTTTATTTTTCCTAAATAAAGGTTTTTTTAATTCATTTAGCAGTTTCTCTGTAGGTATTTGAATTGTAGGCCATATATGATTCAATGATGGATATCCTTTCTAAATTGTAAGAAAAACGAATGAATTAAAGTTCTATCTAGGATAAACTGTAAGTTACTGAACGTTTATTAGCTGGAAATTTAGAAGTTTACACTGTGGATAAATTAATCTGGAAACATAACGCACAAAAACGTTGACTTGAAGCTAATCGTAATACTTTTTTGTTCATGCCACTTGTGTTTAAATTGTATCTGAGATTTGCATAAATCCCTTATACTAATGATTTGTATATAGCAGTAACTATATCTTTAGCATGATAAACAATGTATTCCTAAAAGAATTCCACATTGAAGCCAGCAATTCGTCACTCCCCAACTAGAAAGATTAGTCCTAATTACTTTTATTCAAAAGTTGCATTATCATGTTTTATGTAAACACTGTAATGTGCAACTTGCTCAAATGCTAGAATCGCCGTTATAGTAAATCCCCCATTGAGATGAGGATAAATTTAGCATTGGATAAGCGTTCTACTGACTGCAATCAGTCAAATATATATTTATTCAACCACTCAATTAATCAATAATTCTTAAACCAAAGGTCGTTTCTATCTTACTGTTACAAATGTTACATCAGTAAACCGAAAGTTCCTTTCTTCCAAAGAAATCAGTCAGATACAAAATATTCCTTATCAGTCCATTTTGCAACCCTGAGGGTAGTAAGCCCGAATAAACTATTTCCTTGAAAGTTTTAATGACATTTCGGATTGGTTTATGTAACGGGTTACTTAGGTATTTTAGGAAGAATAGTGTGTTTTGAAGATAGATTGTCCAGAAAATATCATGCTCGTTGTAACTGCTGAAAGCCTTGAATTTCATTTCGTGTAAGATCTTCAATGTACGCCGTTAGAGAAAAGTATTTTTTTCATTTTATAGGGTAAACGCATGTCATAATGAGATTATATAAACTAGAAATGTCTTAAACTTTCATATTACTACATAGCTTTATGTGTTAGAAGTTTGTTACATTTAGGTTAACAATAAAAAAAAATCGATTCATGATCTCAACAATTTCCACAACCCGATACTGAAAACCAAATTGATTGGACTATCAAATATTAATAGATTGGGATAAAAATGAGTTTTGAAAAATCACTATGTAAGTATAAAATATCTCGTTGGTAGCAATCACTCAACATATATCAAATCTAAAAGTTATGTTAACAGACTAGCTTTACAGCGGATTTAATAATCGTGGAAGAAAACAGTTTTATACTTTCAACATTTAAAAACACTTCTTACACATAATCAGTACAGAATATAGTTGTTTTAATAGATATCTTCTTGTAGCTGTACATTTAAGCAACAATTACGTTATCGTCTCACAGTAAAACTATGCAATAAAAGATTAAGAGTACTTGTCTTCTTATCGAATGATCATTTTTAATTTAACTAAATTTGATTTCATGTACATTTAAGAACATATTTCATGCATGAGATCTTAAAAAGGAATGTAAAAAAAAAGAACTATGGAACTTTGGTAGCAATTCCTTAGTGAATTAGTTAGTATATATTTAATAGCACAAAGCTGATGAAAAGCTACCTTTTGACTGATTAATTGTTTCTGTCTGTTATCTTTTGTAAATGATAGCCAGCTGACTGATACTCTTCTTTGTATCAAATGTCCTAGTTATGCACTCATTGAGATTTATTTTTAGTGCGTTGTGGTATTGCATTTCACTATTACAATCGTATGAGTCATATATCTTAATGATAAAACATATCTACAATCATCCATCTAGCCTTTTGATTTTCTGATCAGAGGATCGAAAACATCGGACTTTCTGTTCTTAATTGATCTTCTGACGAGTTAAGCAAAGGAGTTAGTCGATTTATTGTTATCAAACCGTTTACTAAAGAACTAGTACTATTATTAAAGTACTTTTGATTGAATAAAGAACAATGGATTGATTATAAATTAACTTTGAAGAACATTCACCAAACCATCACATAGGCTTCAAAAAACAAGTTACCTGCCAGGTGAACAGTTGTGTTTCCATTGTAGAATTTAAACTATTCCGAGTATGTGTAAGCTGTTCTGCTAAATCTCTAAATTATAATGGGTAGTGAAGAAAAAAATTATTTAAGTTTTGTGTTAATGATAAAAAATATTTGGAATTCAGGATAAGAAACCATATTTCACTGACTATACAAAATAAGTCTTGCATGGATAGTATACAATTGGAAACATCGAACTCAGTATGTTGATCATTAATGGGTGGGATTTTTTGCGATAACTTGTTTTAGCGTTGAAGTGAACACTAACATTCACTATGACTGAAGCATATCCGTCAATCTGTCAATATTTATACAGTACAAAATATGCACCTTGGATTCCACTGATAGCCACTGTTAGGCAATATTGAGATATTCTGCATAAATGACTAGTCAAGAAATCATCGTTAGAGAAATTTATCTATATTACGAGATAGTATTGATCATTGTGCGAAGTTGGGAATAAACTCGAAAATTTTAAACACAGTTATTGCTTAATGCTCGAAAGGTATTGTGCTCTCTGAAGAAGCTAGAGATCGTGTGCTTAATCCCTTATGAAGTCGTACTTGCAAACGGCTAGGGAGTTCTAACCTACAACTAAACAGTCATTTAGTGCTCCGTCTTTTTTATTGCTTTCAAAGTAACACCATAGAGTATCTGAAAACTAAACTGAGCTCTTTGATTTTAAGAACAAAACGTCTAACGTATGGTAAAAAAACAAATGAGCTAATTTTATTCTTGGTTAAATCAAAATTATTTATTTTACAAGATATTTACCCAGAAAATGAATTTTATCATTGTACTTCACATGGTTTCAGTTTATTACAGGCAATTACGTGCTCAACAAGCGTCTATAATGACTGGATCACACTATATTTTAAATTTGGTATTTCTGTTCAAGACGTGGTTCCAAAAGGGTGTACTTCTTACTTAGTACTAATAATGATTCATCATATGATAGACAAACATACTAATAATTTGATAGAAGAATAAGTGCTGAAATACCTTAAGACTGCAGTAGTTCTATCTGATTCAGTTGCTTTATTTAATTTGATTTTTTGACGTGGCGTTAAGTACTGATCTTCTGAATGTTCTACACTCTCTTCAATCTCTTCATTTAATTGTATTGAAAACTTCTCAGTGTTTTCAATTGACTGTTGTTTGTGCAAAACTGAATCAGGTAAACTAATAAATTCTTCAAACGACATAAGTCTAAAATTACAGAAACAATGACTAAGGACTATAAAGAAGAAACCAGCTCAGGATGAACGTATAGTAACGGAAGCTAATCAACTGCAATCCTTAATATCAACAATGAGAATTTGCAACTCTATACTAGTATTTCTTATTAAAGTATTAAATTATTTGGTTTTTCACCTTTCTTTGATAAAATGTAGTTTCGACAAATAACTAATTCCTTGATGACTTTATTTCATAATATCACACTGGCGTTTTCCACTCACTAATTGCTTACTTTCTCTCTTAACAAGCTATTAGGATATTTGTTTTCATGGTCGTTGCTGTTACTATATAAACGTAATTGTTGCATCACGTTTTTATTTCTGTTTTGGGGAATATTGGAGCTCTTCTGAAAATCCTTTTTTCTCTATTACCATTTCATTTATTCCCGTATAGCTAACTTTTGTGCAATAACCGTCTGACTTGGAAAGATCCAGTTTTGTATTTAAAAAATCTCCCGGTCGTTCGTGACTTGAAATAATCAAAGTATTATCAAGTCATAACGTCTTCAAGTCGATTGAACAAGTGGCTATATTGACTCATTAACTTAGCATATAGAATGCTGGCACCCAGTCTCATTTCAAATGCCAACACTAGGATGCAAACATGTCCAGACGACTAGCTCCGAATGGAATGAAACGCTCAAGCTGAATTCTACTGCTAACCACAAACTATATATACTGAAGCTTCGAAATGTCAAAACAATTATAATTTCTAATCAGTCAGTCAGTAACAACGTAGAACTTCGTACGTACGTACATCAGTTCGAGTTGTCATACCACATTAGCGCAGAGATGCAGTAGTAAGAGTAAAACAGTAATCGGAAACATTAGGGCTTGAAGGTGTTGTTCAAAGAGTATAATACAGTGAAATAAATTTAGAAAGAGAAAAAAGAGACAAGGAGGAATCAGGAGATTAAAAGTTTGGGAGAACACAAAGAGTGTATGCATCTGCGCCACTGCAAACGATTTTGAGCCATGTCATTCAGGGTCTCTAACCATCGGTTGCTATCATCTCGCGGTCCCCAATCAGGTAGTCTACACCTACCAACATGACTCAGTCCACTTGTCAGTAACTTCATGGACTTGTGCCATGTTTTAGTCTGACCGCGCCTAGCTTTCTTCCAACCTACTCCTATACAAGAAAACATCGCACGTCGAGGCAGTCGGTCGTTGGGCATACGTAACACGTGTCCCAACCATCTCAACTGATGAGGTTTCACCACTTCATCAATCGATTTGCCATCCTTACCTAGTACCCTTTTCCTAACAACTGCGTTACTTACTCGATAGTCCCAGGATATACGAGCAATGTTTCGAAGACACCTATGATCAAATGCTAGTAACCTATGAATTTCCTCTACTCTTACCGGCCATGTTTCACTGCCATAAAGTAGGACGGAACGAACTGCTGCACAGTAAACACGTCCTTTGGTTGATAGACGGATATCTCGCGTGCGCCATAGATGACGCAAGTTGGTAAAAGCTAGTCGAGCCTTCTGTATCCGTGCTGAGATTTCGTCACACACCAGACCACGAGGGCTGATGAGACTTCCAAGATAAGTGAAGCGGTCGACACGCTCAAACAGCCTCGTAAGTATGCAATTAAATTTTTCGAAAATGGAATAAATGGCTATATTGGACTGAACACTTGGCAATTGGAAATTCTCTGATGTATTGGTACACTTTCTGTTCAACATATACTCTTTTCCACTGACTAAACTTATCAAAGGTATCTCAAACAGTTTGATTAATAAGGCCGAAAATATTCCTTGTTATCAAATATGTTCAATTTAGAATTCGTTAGAATTACTATACGTTCAGGATAATAGTACTGTAGGGCTGTAAAAAAATGTTAGTAGCTACAATGAGGTCGGAAAACGGTAACACATCTCAAAAAATGAATGATTTAACAGTTTAACTACTTTCTATTACTTGTCACTAATAACGATAATATTTATCAGAATTTAAAAGGAAAAATTTAGCGTCATATGACCTCAGTTGAAGCTAGTATGTCTATTAGGGGGAAATATTCGTTTATACAAGGAATAGAAAACCAAACAAACATATTTTTTTGGATTATGCACTTTAAATTTCTTACAGATTAAATTCGCTCCCATCCTTCCTATTTCATCAGATAATTCGTTTTGCATGTGAATTATGATTTCTTTGTATAAATCCTAAAGATTTAAATTAAAATAAATACCCAGAATTATATATATATTGTATAGATGACTACAGAAAATAACAAAGTATGTTGTTTAAGGATTTCTCACGACAATATTCATATCCATTCAGAATTAGATTTCAAACTCTTAGTTTCAACCATCAATATATTAGTTTTTAAACTGTTTTCCCAATATATATATATATATAGTATAATAGTATAATGTAACATTTATTGTGTGGATTGTATACTATGAATATTCAGGTAAATTCAGTCGAATACCATACTCCCTATATAGTTTAACATTTCTTACCAAAAGTATCGGTTGGTATGATCATGCATATTATTTATTAAGTTAATAATGAATTGTCAGAGGTTTCTCAAACATTTATCATACTAATACTAAAACGTAATTCATTTTTATTAAATAATCTTAAACAGTATAGGTAGTATGGTGTTCGATTGAATTTACTTGAATATTCATACCATACAACCCACACATTGAATGTTACATTATTATGTTACATTACTATTTCGTGAACTTACTGATAATATATATAGTGAAAACAAATTAGAAACTAATGTATTGATGATTGAAACTAAGAGTTTGAAGTCTAATTCTGAATGGATATGAACATTGTCGTGAGAAATCCTTAAACAACATACTTTGTTATTTTCTGTAGTCATTTATACAATATCGGATGTTGCTAAAGTCGCCCAATAGTTTTATCTAATATCCAGCATAAAATAATTTGAGATGATAAGAGGATACGACTAAATCAATTTTGGCTGACCAGCAAATACAATCGGTACGAATGAGATGGACTTACACGTAAGTACGAGTGAACCGCATTTGATTGAAGAAGTTCTGAAGCAGATGGTCGTTCTTGGGGAGTCTTCTTTAACATTCTAGAATATAATTAAGACAGTTATTAAATAGTAATTAATATTTTTAAATAGAATAAATTATTAAGTGAATAATTTGATCAGAAAATAAGAGAGATTTAGGAGATTAACAGTTATTATGTGTTGACAATGTTTCGAAAGTGAAAAGTTTCTAAATCTCCATGCTAATAGCTTACTATCTCATAAGCAATTCAGTATAAATACACATTTCATGTCAAAATAATATTGTGAAAATGATAACTCTTATTCTATGCATCATTTATTCATTCGATTGTCTACCATCATAAATGTGTTGATGTGATTACTCTATGAACTAACTGAAGGGTTGTTTTGAATCTAGGTCACTTTTATCAGTCTGTCAAATGTCAAAAACTATTCTTATCTTTTTCAGGCGTATATACCATCATCTTATTTCTACAGATTGATAACAAAGTGGTACCTTAAATTATGATTGTAAGAAATAATACCATAAATAAATTACATTTTTAAGTCCTTCGAAAGAAGCTTGGATGAAATCGCTAGGCCATAGCTCTGAGTAAATCCACTTAGAATATGCTATGATTTTACAAATGCAATGCGTATATACTGACCTTAATGTACTTACAGTCCAATCTTTTCTAAAATAGTCAGCGAATCTGTTCAACACTCCTTACAGAATAACACAATCAAAAGACTTATAGGTATCATTAACAAGGTTTGACTTGATACTTTCAAATAAACTGAGAATTTCGTAGAATGTTAGTAATAAAATAGCAACATTTTTGCAATATCCCAATGAGTAAAAAATTAAGTTTTCTGACATTTTGTTACTCAGTATGAGTGGCTCCTACGGAAGATAAATATTTATACTCATTAAGACTTTGTGAAAGTATTAATTTTATGATCAAAAAATGTTTTCTCACTGTCTCAGACCAGCGACAACCAGTGACACTAACCTTAACTATTTCAGTCATCTGACTTTAAAATTGGCCGAGTACTCACAAATGAAGTTAGTTTATTGTTGCTAGTGTTTAACTACGAGCACTTACTACTAGTCAACGGAAGTAGAAATTTGTTGAGACGTTAACGAATAAAAATATCATAGCATACACATACTAAAACAAGTATATCAAATAGAGCATTTGATTAGGATAAAATTCTCATTAATTTTATTTGGTTATTTATTCTCTGAAGAAGTGACTTACACTAAGCCACGAAACGTCAGAAAAATCCAATTTTCTACTCATTGGGATATTACAAATATATTATTTTTATTTATAATTTTACGTACAGTTCTAAAACCTCTTGCAATTCTTTTGAATAAATTTCTGGTAGCTGAGGACAAGGATCATTTATCACCTGCCACATAACACGCATTAAATTAGTTCCAGTGAATGCTCTTCTTTGGGTGCATAGTTCATACAGAATTATTCCGATTGACCTATACAACAATTAAAAAGCTACAGAAACTGCTTAACTAATAGTAAAGTATAGTACAAACCACGTTACACGAGAGACCAGTGTTAGTAAGTATGAATCAAATAAGTGTGCCTATACCTAAAGCATTTTACCTGAATAATGTATTTCTATCGCCAAAAATGTTATGCAAATCACCTATTTACGGTTGATTAGTCATTTAGTCATATTTCGATTTAATCTATTAGGGAACAACGAATTCTACTAACCAGTTGAAATCTGATTAGCAATTCAAGTGATTTGACATCACTACGCTGTAGTCTGATATTTTAGACTGGTAATTTTCTAACCAAAAAAGGGTCAAACAACATACAACTCACACTTCAGAACATCTCTAGACAATTACACATACATAAACATCAAACTGAAGATATTACAAACTTACTTCTATACGGTAAATACAAGTTTCAGGTGCCTAATTAAAATATTATGAATTACATCATAAGTATGCAGTGATCATTTTCTCGGTAAATCTCAATATTATTGATTGTCGTATCTTGATCAAACTAAGATGAAACTCATTCTCACTGAACTTACTGAGTTCACCGACGTCTCATTGCTGAAACACTTGAACTCGAATATGAATAATGCAAGCTAGAAAGTTAACTGCCACAATACAAATCGACTTCAGACCAGTCACACAGTAACACCTGATTTCAATGCTCAATTTTGTAAATCTGTTTAAGAAACAAATGTATGGATCAGCCACTTGAAATTATTACGTATTCGAAGTGCGAGCTAATTTTCTGTATTCTAATCAATAGTTGAGCCATTCTGTTTCCCTCCAGACAATCTATTCAGTTCTCTTTGTTTATCTATTCATTTACTGATCTACTCTCATAAATTTGACACATTTTATTGAACTATGCATCCACTGTAACAGATCGTGAACAGATTATTGGTGCTAATCAAATTCAGTGAGAGACAAATCGATATGTAATCACCAAAATGTGATCATGCTTGTCATAGACATGGAAATAACTCGGAGAAATAAATGACGGAGGGAGAGAGACAGAGATAAGAAATGCTAAACCACATGTTTACGGATAGTTTGCGTTATGTACAAGGTGTTATCTGTTTAATAAAATCAGAAGACTACATGAAATTCCAATTCAAGTTATGTAGTTGTTGATTTCTAATGAATTTTCTATCGGTTTCTTCCCAATTGAAAATTGACCTTCATTGAAGCAACAGTGAAAGCATAGAAACTGAAAGTATGTCGATATAGTGAGTTGTGGAATCTGTCGAATTATTAGCCTCACATAATGGACTGGCTTCGGTTAGACAATCGGTCGATACCTGAGAGCCTTGAAGTGTTGTTTTGTCATGGTATGGGATAAGAAATGTCATGCTGTTACAGTCGATCGACTGAAGTAACATGAAGTGACTAAGTGACCACAGCTCGTGAAAATCTAGTTGGTGGTGTAAGCTCCTATCCCAAACTAACTAGAAACAAAAATATAACTGGTTGACGAAATAGTTTGTTTTTGCTTGACAAAATAATCTGGATGTAAGCAGGAAATACGACGAAATGGAAGCGATTGGAACTCACAGATTTTTTGATCGATTAGGATGCAATGGTGTTTAGAGCTCTCTGGACATCTAATAAATTCAACTCTTCGAACATCATATAAATTTTTGCATGCCATTTTATTACCAATCAACATTTCAACATAGTTCACGCCATATCAAGTCATTCTGACTTGTGAAAACATTTCAACTCCATCTTTGTTTTATGAGCATCTCTAAATGAACTAGACAAACATGATATTGGTCGCCATTGATCGGTCAGTTATTAGTTAATATCACATTTCTATGGGAGGCTAATTCCAGCTCCAATAGCTTAGTGGTCACCATCTAGATCTATGAATGATGATAACGCTGGATTAATCCGGCTGGGTAGCGGCAGTTCCTACAAGACTGCAAATACGTTTTACTGTCGGTCGCTACATCAAGCCGACATTTGGCTTCCGGACAGGTCAATTTATCTATTCTCCTTGAGTCACGTTTTGACCTTTTTAATTATTTGCTTATCAACCTTGAATATTTCTATATAAGCGTATGTGTGTGCATTTCTTATATTACTCATCACATACCTGTTACTTATTTTTGTCTGACTATAAATATCTTTTCACGCTTGGTTAAATCGATTCGGATAATATGCCTTTTCCAATCCCTTTCGCTTCGTTTCCCTGATTGTTTGCTCAGATCAACGGTTGCATGAAACATACGTATTCAAATCCATTCTTGTGCTTAACTTATTTAATCCCGTAATTCATTAACGCGAATTAACTCGATAATTGTATACGAGAATTGGTGACATGGACGTCATCATACTGGAGTCAGATAAATGGCCACCAAAACGTTTCCCTGTTAAATTTCAATGAACATGAAACCTAGGTTCAAGATTTTCTGCCAGCCACCTAACAAATCATTTACTATAAGACGTTCAACTTACCAAATATCTGATTTATTATTATATCCTTCGTACTTCAGAACTTCCGGACTCATATAATAAGGAGTCCCAATAAACGTAGTTGCCAGTTCTTCAGTTGTGGCCAGTGAACGCGAAATACCGAAATCACCAACTTTAATATTCCCATTCTTTAAAAATATATTACTAAAACCATTTTAAAACATAAGTTTTACCTAAAACGTTTCCGAAAATTCAAATCACTTCTTAAAAATTCAACTCCTCAACCAATTCAATAAACATGATCAATGTTGCAATAAACATTCTACATGGGGAGCATTTCTAATAACAACCTAGATAAGACCTAGCTTTTGATAAATACTTAAGGTAAGCTTCATTAATTTTATAAGCAGTTGTAGTATTACTGAGAATTTTTGGTTTGTTTATTTAAATTTAATTGTTTATTCACATCTTTCCGAGTTCAAATATTTTAGTAAAGATTCGGAACTGCCTGCAAACGACAAGCTGTTATAAATTAATTGGAAACCTCAATGATTTATATTTACATTAAAAACTGTTTGCTAGTCTTATATATTTTGTGTACAATTTCGGACTAACTCATAAGAAACAAAATAAAATACGGTGGTACTGAAAAAAACATGCCAGTTGAACACATTTTCTCAGTTAGATCCAGTATCTTCGGGTTCTTGATGATTCTTCTGCAAGCTTCACTTCGTGAAAGCTACTTTCAAGTAATTTTTTGAAGGAGTTTAGCTTATTACGTTGTTGATATTACTAATTGAATTTCGATCAATTTTAGTTGGCATATGTACATCCTGTGTACATTGCCTTGATATAATTATTTTTCCCACAAGATTTTTTTAAAAGAGAGATTTTGTGTGGCTGTGGAATCCAGAATGTGCGTTTTGAATCTGGCACCTATATACCCAATAGCCATCTTGTTATTTTCTGCTCACTAGGTCCAAATCCGTAATATGTGAAATATATTATTTATTAAAATTAGGTATTATCGTCTCCTCTTTCAAGATCATCCTTCTTTAAATCGAACTTCTATATTGGGTTTATCCATCTGTTTTCCAATATTTGTTGAGCATGCTGTATCTAGTGTTTTAGGCATTTTTCCCTTCATTTAATGGAAAAATGCTGCATTTAAGAGTGTAATTTCCACTTGGGATTTCACTTGAAGTATCTAAAATTATCCACATCTGTATGCTGCGGTCACTTCAGTGCAGCGAATCCCAACATGTCGGATGGAAAATACCAAATATAATGAAAATTAGGCTGTGAAACAATGGTCTCTTATATAAGGCACTCACTCACTAAATGAATAGGAAAATTCCGAACAGTGTTTACGATTCCATATTTACTGAATATTAAGAAATGGATGGATAGAATCATATAATTTTTCAATGTAATTCCCTTCAAAATTTCCGTAAAGGACAAAATGACGTTGTTAGTTTTTTGACTTAAGTTACAATTTAAAAAATCCAACTCCCAAATTATAATTGAAAACTAAATATATTGAAAAAAAATCAGAAAACAACCTTGTTTTTAAGTCACGGTGAAGTATTTTATTTTTATGCATATAAACTGTGGCCAATATAATTTGTACAAGCCATTTTCCAATAATTTTTTCACTGATACGTTCTCCTTTACTCTTCACTTGTTTTAAGTAATTGGTTAGATCACCCCCCTATCATGTTTTACAGTACAATTAAAAATAAAAGATAAAATCTTAGCTTAGATTAATCCATTGAAATTTAACATACTATGTTTTATTTTTATGATGAATAATCGCTGAATACTGTTTTCTTTTGTAACGATTTGACGAAGAAATAAGTTGACGAAATGTGCAGTCATCAGGGAAAATATAATATATAGGACAATAATATAGTACTAACGGGAAATAAAACTTCGTAAACTAGTGTGTTTTCTGGTCTCTACCCACCTAGATAATCAAGATCAGATAAGCTTATGAAGACTTTTAACGTCTACTGGAGAGAGTGTTTAAGAAATATGATTGTGTATCTGGTAACAATTTACCTCTTGATATACAATGTAAGATAGTGTAAAAGTAGTCAACTACGCTAAATTATTAGTAACTTTGGTTCTCTTCGAATTGTCTGCTTACTGTTGTGAATCACGTTTGTCACTTGACTCCTTGAAATACATGGATAGAGGCTAAGAAGCATTGAATTTTTCTACTTCGAGGAAATCTCATCAATGAAGATACATTCACACCTTTGTTAACTCTTGATAATAATATTGTTATCCTACTTCAGTTGATTTCTTATTTGCTTATTATCTGCAAGATATTGACGTATTATGGGTTAAACAGTCCTTAAGAACTTTTCAAAATATAAACTAAAGAGGTAAATAAATCAAGAATGACAAATCGTAGTCTGCATGCATGATAAAATTGATTGTTAACTGCCGATTCAAAGAGATGAAGCAAAGGTATCATTCGAAACTGAGAGCAAATCGGTTCAGTTTGTCACACTTTTTAAGACCACATTAGAAAGATAGATAACCAAAAAAGAGACCTTAAAATGAACAGTTCATGATGAAACTAGTCACAAAACGTTTCACCTAATTACCAGGCCTACTAATAACGGTGTACTAACAAGTAACTAGATTTAGGGTGGATTTATCAAAGTTCCAGTTGAAGTTTATGAATTTTGAAGTCGATCATACCTAAAGTGGGACTATAACTTGTCGGCCAAATTAAATTTTTGCATCACTACAGTAAATTAACTTAAGTCGAAGATGCAAATCACTAGACCCCGATTCAGGGACTTAAATCTATTGTGCTTGAAACGAAACTGAAGTGGTATGTAGAATACTAAATGTTAGAAACCTAATGTGAATTACTGAGATATAAAGCAAGATAAAGCATCCACTTCACTTTTCATGGTTTTATATCATCCCATAATTGATAACCCTGATAAAAGTAATCATCAAATAATGAAAAACGTTTATTAAACCACCTAAGTTTTAGAAAATAATGCTTAGAGGAACATGTAAAACAAAATTAAACAAGATGCTGAGTTCATATAATTTAGAAATTTAAAAACCTGTAGAATTTAAAAAAGACAGTCTAAGCTTATCTAAAGAAATCTAATATTCTAAAACTCGTTAATACAACCAGTGAAATTGGTTGCTATGATACAAAAAGATTTTATCCTAATTTTGTAACAAGCCACGGTAAACAATGAGACGGTACAAACCGCCATACCAGTTAACAGGCACAATTTATTATAGTTGTTGTATGTGAAAGTAACTATGCAGCCTCTAAAAATAAATAGAAAGGCATGTCATTTGGAACAAAAGTATGAAAACAGCAATAATACAGAGCATCATTTGAAGAGATTTTATGGATTTAAATTGACTCATTTGATTAAAACAACGTATATAAATTTATTCTGATAGAAGATTCATTTCATTGGTATCAGTGTATACTAAGAGATGTAATATCAGCATAAAAATCGAGAGCAGTGAGCACTAATTGGCCTCATACATTGTTATTAAGCATTACCATTTAATCCCACTCATCTCAGACCAGTTCAATAGTTCTCATTTGTCTATTATATAGTGAAAAGATTCACTACAATATAAAATGTGTAAAGAAACTTTTATACATTGACTTATATCATCCGAACGCAAAATGAAAACAAAGGAGCACCAAACACCAGTTTTGGTGTGAACATGATTAGTATTGGGCTCTGAATGAAGCACAGTGGTCCTAGTTGTGCCTTTTATCAAGCAAGAAAACAAATTGCATGAACAATCGACGATGATACCAAAAAGTATGAAAGTCTCTCATTGTACAACTAGCAATAATATAGACCGGCTTCTTATCTTTTTGTTTATACTAATTGGAACAAATATTAATCTTGTTTACAAGCTTTTATTATTATCAAAACATATTTCAGTTAAGTGATCTTTGGATTTTCGTAGTTCGATGAAAATAATTTTCTCACCTGGGTTACATCCATTCGCTCTTGAGTAACATACTTAACCACTGTTTGGAAAAACTAATTTAGTTTCGTAAGCTTTACAGTGTTAGCATAGTAATTTTTTGAGTACACATGATCATATATGTATCTACCTAGCGACCACAGATAATACATATGTAAAGTTTAACCAACCACCGAAGCTAAACATAAGCTTGTGCTGCTTGTATGAAATAAAAAATACTTTGCACACAATAGTACAATTTATTCATGATTTAGACAAAATACACTACAGTGGCTCTACAGATTTTTTCTAGTCTTTTCATGCTGATCCACTTGTAGCTATCAGAGCGCCTTTTAGTAAAATCTACGGATTTCATATTACTAGATACGCTCAATGCTATTACTTATCTCAAAGTCATAAGTAATTCTGTATACGTCAGCAACATGTGATAGCGATGTCTTTTATATTAGTCACTTTATCTATTTTGAACGTCACGAAAGCCCGCAAAGTTCTGGTGGAGATTTTAGTCAATGAAATATATTAAGAGATAGAGTAAAGTCCAATAGTGTGTGGGCGAGGAAAATGATGATTAGTTGTTTGCATAGTCATATGAGTAGATAGCCTGGTAGGTATTAGGTGTGTTGTTTATCTTTCTACTCATTGTTATTATGGTTGTTTTCAGTTATTGGCATTGAAGTATACTCACATTATGGTCCGGCCAGTCACAGTAGTGTTAAAGTCCTGTAGAATAGACACTATCAGGGTATCTAGTGTAGATATTCGTTTAAAACATTAGTGTCACGTTGGTCTGAAGAACAAATACGAGCATTGTTTCGGATTTTAGATGAACTTAGTTTCGTCCATATAAGTTACTATTATGACTTGATATTTGTAGCTAGTTGCGACCCAATATCATTGATTTATAAATTAATTCACGTAGATGAGGTCGTTAATTAACAACAAATGGAGACATTACTTACCAATCGGCTCTGAACTACGACGTGTTGAGTAACCTACAGATCGTTAGTTGGATAAATGAAAAGTAATTAATTAGTTTAACTAGCAAACTAGTTCTATCACATCCATTTTAGGTTCATCGGCAGTTGTGTAAAACTATAGATTTTTCAACTTGATTAGATCAGAAATCCCATTTATAAACTATTTTCTGCGCAGATGACATAAATACTAAACTTTTGAACATTTAAACAATCTTTTTGTATTATTCGCTATTAGTAGGCCGAGACAGCCACTTCTCGATACCGTATTTTAGAATAAATTGTGTGTCGTACTTGAGCTGAATAAAAACATGTTTGACCTACTTCCCTAAGGCTAATCAGACAGCTCTATTGAGGGGTGAAATTAAACACGAAAAATGTGATTTTATCAGCTAACATCAGTGTCACTGAATGATTCGGGTGATTGTGCAAAGTTTTTTATCATATGCCATGCACGATATTTAACGGACTCTGTTGTTTCTCCTAGAAAAACTACTAATTCGTTGCGCTCAATTCACAGAATCATTTTCTTAAAATATAACAGGGTGATTTGCTCTAATCACTTATTGTTGTTCTACTTTTAAAATCCATTCACTACATTAGTAGTCATCTAAAAACTTGTAGTTTTAACCTCTCTTCCCTACGGAAGTCATTAAAGAATGGAAACAACATTGGTGGAGTAAAACGCACGTGCAAGAAAATCATCTGGCTGACACTAGCCTGACACAAGAATGCTGGGTGTTCATTGCAAAAAATGCCTAGAAAATGACTACAACCATCAACTCAAAAAATGTTCACGACTAGAATAACTACGAATGGTTTAAATACGATATAAAGCCATCATTTAACTCTGTGGTGTTATGATAAGTCATAATATGTTGAGAGTATTATTCATCCACAAAGTGGACCGCTCGTAATTAAGTCAAACAGTGTTTGTATGGAATTTTTTGGTTTTTCATGTTAGTTGGAATAGTAACGCAACTAGCTACGTTTTAAGGGGTTAGCTATTGAAAAACTCTCCTCATAGTGCCATAAAATATAGACTAGAAGATTAATCAAAAAAAGATCTCGGGTTATTTAAACGGGAAGGATAAAATTATTTATTGAAGAATACTGCTCTTCTAGACTGTAGTGGTTATGGGAGAGGACAATTTAGTCTATAGACCCTGGTTATATATCCGCTTACAAGCAAATTCGGCGAAACATCCATATTTTTAATGATCAGCAAATTTCATAAACAATAATCATACAGTGAAAATCTCTAACGACTCACTTCACAATATTCCGACACAATGCAGAACCTATTTTTATCAACAAAACTTTCATGAATACGGAGTATGTAAGGGTGTTTTAGACTCGATAGAAGATGTGCTTCTTTTTCATAATCTTTTTGAACCGCTTCTGAATTATCATCAAGTTTTATGCACTTCAGAGCTTTCAAAACCTTCCTGATCACGGTCCGTTCAAAAACACTATTAATTACGTGCAATTTTGAGATTCGTGGAAGTCCTCCACCAAGTAAGTTTTCCCACTCGCTCCTTTTCCGAGCTTTTTAATCACAGTATATCGACTTTTGAATACAACGGTGCTTCCGTCCTTCATTTTGAATTAGCTCGTAGGATTTGATTACTATGACAACACGTTTCGATTTTCCGCTGACAATCATTTTCTAAGGACTTCAAAGAACAATAGACCTATTTCTGAATGTAGCGTCCTTTTTAATGTTTCCAGACGCTTTGTGTATTGCCCTATTTTTCCCGTTCTATAAACAATCGTTTTTCTTGAATCAGCCTGTGTCACTTTATCAAACTGCTTTGATTCCGCTATCCAATATATTATTGGTAGTTTGGCGTGCACATAGTGAATTATCTGTGCCATTTTCTCTTTGTGTCGGTACAATCCAAAGTTTTATTTGGCATCCAAATTGAGTATTCTAATCACTTGCCTGTATTAGTCCTAATAGGTTCAGTAGTTGTGGGTTAGCAAATGCCAAACATTATCACACAGGATGTTAGCTAGTCGTAATTACATAAAAATTCAGATACGTGAGAGTGAAAGAAAAACTGACTGTCAGAAATTGGATTATTCACCAAGTACGCAAACAAACGAATGGGCAGTAGTGCAGGAATAACAGATGAACGTTATTAACACGGAACGAATAGGATAGAAATAAGCTAATGATATGTTGTAATATTAATAGATTTAGATGATTTGAGAGGCATGTGTAATTAGTCCGAGAGGCAGACGGTAGTCCGCTGGCAAGTATATGGTTGTCATATGAGGAAACTCTCAATGTGGAAATTTTGATTTCATCCTAGTATTCACTCCATAGCGATCTTTTTTTGAGGAACGGTGATGAGTTTCCAGTGTGACGTTTGTGTTAGGACGACTTGGTTTCCCTAGTTTATCGTATTTTACCGCTAATCGACCCCTTATTCTCCTGTGACCCGGGGGGAACGATCTCAGAAGTCCAGTTCTACCTTCCTAGGAATCGCCTCTCAGCTCCATCACCCACCTTGTTGCGTGTCTCTTTAAGGAGAGTTAAAAACGGTCATTGGTTAAAAATATTAAATTTTTTCCGTATGAAGTTACTAATTTTGTTTGTTCAGCTCCAGCCCAGTATCAAGAATCCCAAGGGTAATTAGCCATCAACGTACTCTGTTAATATAATCATGAGAGGGCTATTGTGAAAGAAATAAGCTGCATAAGGCTGAATATTCACAACCTGACATTTTGACAGGTTATTTTTAGACCAAATGTCCACCACCAACCTACCTACGATGTCAGGTTCTTTTGGAGCTCAATCGAATCCTTTTTGCCCCTCATGGTATCTTGTTAGCATATGTTAGGCTCAGTTAATCAGAAAAAAAAGTTATCCTAGAGTGGTTCCCCATAAAACTTCTGATATGGAGGCTCTTTAGTTCCCACGAACCCTATTTACCTTGCTGTGGAACATTCAGCTTTCCAGGCAATCTAGAAATCTGAAGAAAAAAACTGGTCAGTGAAACTATCGTTATGAATTTCATTATGAGCATATCACGCAGTTTAGTCTAGAATGACTTTCGGAAGTAGGGGAATATCACGCGAATCGGAATCTAGACCTAACAAGTTATGCAGGTTTCTTATTCACAATCATCGGATGAATAATGCTTGTTTTTGAAACCATGTTGGATTGCATGAAGAGCATCGCTTTTTTCAATAATCAGCCCTTCCATAACCTTGAATAGCATTGGAAATGGTGGTACTGGACTGTAACCATTCACCATATTGACCTGAAATAATTGAAAATGAAGAATCAATAGTCCATATTAACTAAACGGTAAAAGTAAAAGTTTCAATTAGAACAGACATACGTAATGGAATAAGGAAAAATATATTAAAACGACACTATGGGAAACTATTTACTATATTTTCCCAGTGTTCTAGGATATTAAGTACTGTTCCAGCTGTCAGTAAGAAGCCTATGTGTTTGACTGCGCTACATGACGTCATCGGAGCTTGATTGTGAGTTGAAACTGTGTGCACAAGGTTGTATATAGGTAACACTTGTACATTGTTTGTGATGCGTAAACATTCATAAAATAATCCGTCATAGAGATTAAAAAATTAGAGGTGCTCTAGTCAATACTCGATAGTAAATTTTGTTGTTTTTTTCTTTTATTTCCAGAAAACGGTCCTTGTCGTATTTTCAAGTCAAGTGTACAGAGTTTTAACTGCTTTCTAAAGGACTGTTATGTATGAAACTGATATATCGTCAATATCATAAGGTTAGGCAGCTCAAAAAACGAAATCCTCATTTCTTTTTTTCTATTTTTGCATTTTTGGGGATCTTTTCTCTTTCGGGTTTATTGACATCTCATACATGGGAGTTACAGACTGCAATGTTACAATCCACGAGGCCACTGCCAAGTGTGAAACTCGAAGTATTTAATTTAGTACGCAATGTTATTATTAATACCACTAATTTTTACCAGATTTTAATCCATCTGTTAAACCCAGGATTTGAACTTAGGTCGATGAAAATTTCATCCTGAACTTCCAGTATTTATTCTGCATTTGGTTTGCCGTGGAAAACTTATCACAAGTGTAGCGTCTGGAAAGTATTCCAAGATATTTTTTGCAATGCTTACTCTTAGCGTACAATATATATAGATATACAAAAGATGTTCTGAGATTTCACTTCGTTGGTTGTAATAATGTCTATCTAAAAAATAAGCATACCAAACACTTGATGTTTTAATTTTATAGGGACTTGGACTTGACTAAGTAATGGTGAACTCACATTAAACTTGTAAATTTTTATCCTTCCGTCGTTTTATAGACATTCTGGATAAAGTGCGAACCGTTGTAGCAGTGTTACCAGTTTTGTTAATTGAATTTGCACATCTTAGTTATGACAGAATACTCAACGTCCGTTTAAATTGGAATTCTGCGACATCTAGTAAACCTTTGAGATTGGCATGAACTTTAAGCCACTTTTTTATTTTCTAGGTAGCTCAATTCAAAGTGATTATGAAGGAAGATGAAAGTGATCATGCTACATGTGACTTGAAAATAAGTTTAGAGTACAAATGAAATCTCCAACAAAGTGTACTCATCTCTTGTTTTAAATGTGTTAAGTATGCTGCTAAATGAATGACAGTATACTGAAAAATATCTTACCATAAAATTAGTAGATCAAGGACCACTACTGATTGTGTGCGCCCTAATCAAATCTAGCTCCCTAAAGTCCAGTCCGTTTGACTAAAATGAAACTAAATGCATATGGATACAACCTACTACTGTGTGAATGAATAACAAAGTCTTATAACACAGTTAAGTAATAATATTTTACTACTAATAAACATAACTCAAGCGAACTTTATGTTACGAAACAGTGTGAACGACGAACACTTAAGGTAAAACATTGAAATTATAAGTGTGAGTACATTAAGATACAATAAGAAAGTGAGGCATAGTTGTTAAGACGTTAGAGTACACCTGGTATAAGTTAGTTAATAAGGTAAATTAAAAGCGATTTCGAAATCAGAAATTATGAGCCTGTTCACAATCATCTGTATAACAAAAGTATGTGACAGATAGTGTATGTTTTTGATGTCCTGGCAAAAATGAATTGTAAATTTTCAAGCCAATTATTACAGTTTGACTGTTACTGATAGAAACAGACACAAAGACCTTTACCGCTAAACTACGAGTTATTCATGTAAACATTAGTTATCTGTCACAATATATCGATGCCTCGTTTGGCGATGTCGAACTACGAGGTTATTGGCGCGGAGTGACGCCAATCCCTACCTTTGCGGTTTAATTGTATTAGGCTAAATATTTAGGCATTAGGTCACATAGACTAGATTCGGGTGTATATCATATTGGTTGTTCGTAAATTTGGAAACAAAAATGGAATAAATTTACTTGTTGATCATGTGTTAGTGGAACCAAAATGTTTCGCTATTTATAGCAGTGTCAGTTATCCTAACGAGTATAAAACATACAAAATAAATGCACATATAATTTCTACGTGAGTAAAAACGCTAGGCATACCACTCAATGGAAATCACAATAAATAGACAACTATTTATCATTTACAATGTTTCTAGTTGATGAATGCAAAAATTCATGAGCTCTAAAATTCACGAGGAGAAAACGGTTTTCTGTTTAACAACATAAATAAGTTATCTTAACATATGATTCGGCGGATGGGAGGTGACCGGTAAAAATGATATTGAAACATAAGTCGTTTTTAAGGAAACGGATAAGGAATTGTGTTTCTTTCGATGAGTCATGTATGGGCGAACAATGTTAAAACGGAAGTATATGATAGATGTATAGGACAGTACTGTCGTGACAGCTAAATGTGTCATTATTAGAATATAATACACCTTGACATGAATGACAATTTTTTATTCCAATAAAACATAACTTCTAAGCTCCCAAACCATATACAAGTTCCGCAGCGAACGTGGCGAAGTTATTCAGTAAAAAGAAGTGCGCGAGATAATAACAGAGAAATCTACTTGGATTCGTCATGTCATTCTCATGATCAAAGTAATTGGAAGAACCAATTCGTTTAGGTAGTTATAACAGACTAAGTACCGTGAGAATTCCTTTAAATTATTTTATCTCTTTATTCTTTCACCTTGTATTTTGATTTAACTTTTACCCAAATGTTTTATAACCATATGCTTGTATTTCCTGGGTTTATTCATCCAGGCCTTCATTATTTAATTCTGTTGCTGTATGACGATGAGCCATTGTCAGTAAGGTCTCGTTTGACTGAGATCAAGGTTACTGCGAGGAGAAGTTGATCGTTGTTGCTCTCTGACTGTCTGGTCGTGGTGCCATTTAAATGATTGAAGGTAGAAATCTAATACCATTTTGTTAGAAATAGTTCTTTTGATTGCCAGGACTCTATTTCATGCTAAAAAAAACCTTTCACTGTATTTTGGGGACAGCGTCGTAGATAATCGTGTAAATTAGGCACAAACTACGTGTTTTCATATAACCATAGGAAGGAGTTATTCATAAAGCCTTCGTATACCACACGGAGGAACGTACTTTAGTATGATCAAATAAACTCTCGTCTGCTGGTTTGTTTACTGTATTCAGACCAAATATTTGTAGTTCGGTCGTAATAGTAGTGCAGTTTAGTGTTGTACTGTTTACGTAACAATCGATCAAAACACATGAATATGTGAAATAAATTGAAATTGTTTCCCAAATAATTCTTTTTCCTCTCGTGCACACTGAAAGGATTCGTCAATAAATCTTCAGCACTAAAACATTCTAATGCTAGAAGGGACTAGCTCGACATTTCACTATTAATAATGTTAAACAATTGATCTAGATTTAGACAGGTTAAGGTAGAAATAGACATATTTTATGTGACGTACTAGGTCTAGTATATTATCAACTAATTTTTCAACCCTTCTGAAACCAACTTTATTATTGACAGTCTGCCTCACTTTATTCCAAAATATTTATAAAAATAAAAATCCTTAATTCGCAAGCCCATAAACCTTTGCTTCCTCTAAAACTAATCACTGTGAAGATAGCCGTTTAAAATATTGTAGTATATTGACTTTTATGAGGTAATGTTTGGTTAAGAATGGACTAAGAATAAACGGACGTCGTTCAGATGGTTAGAATGAAGAACAAATAAGCTACGGCTACTTGTGGAGTACAGCATATTCAGAGCCAAAAAGCAATAGGTGTGACGTCACGAAGAGTAGTGTTACTGAAAGCTCACTTCGGGATTTTAGAAGAGAGGCTAAAAATCCACGTAGCGTATCTGGCACTTTCCGCTCTCCGGACAGATAACCCTGGTCGTAATGGTTTTCTCAATATAATACTTTTTCACAAATGTTTTACATTGTCTGTTTGTTACTGACTGACGTTGCATATTATTGCATTTTGGTCCGTCTAATTGTGGTAAGTAGAAAAATTTGAATCATTATAAGGACCAGGAACCCCCCAAATGTCGCAATTTGGGTCCGATAGAACTAGGTGGGCACAAATGAACGTACTGTATTTGGAATTCAAATTCAGATACACATCAAGTACAAAAGAATCATTGGTTCAGCCGAACATCACGGTAATACATTTCTGGATAGAATTTACGAAGTTTTTTCAGTTACGGCTGCTTTGTCTAGTCCTTCAGAATTATTTATTCCTACACAAATGGTTTATCAATTGAGATGCCCTTTCCTGAAAATTAACTTAACAAAAAATGAGTGAAAATATGTCTTTACAAGATTTTCAAACAGTTTGTTACCAATAAAGGTGGAAATATATTACTTTACATTCTACATTCATTTGAAGTTAATTTCTACTTCGTGTTTCCTGCATATTGAACTGACACAGTTCATTTTACGGTTATGTGCGCTACTGAGTTGCTGTCAATGAAGGATTCAGTAAGCAAAGAAGATAATACAAAATCCAAAGCTCAGCTTAAAGCTGAAAGGAGAGCTATTCAAGTAAGATCCTAATAACTTTAATTATAATACAAGGAAGCTCAAAGAGCTGCGAAGGCTGCTTCTAAAGGTACTGACAAGCCAAAAGTCACGCAAACACCAAATGCCGCTCCTAGTAGTATGATAATAAATATTGGTCTCTAGTTTTAAATATTCTCAATACAGATGCACCAAATACTCTCCCAAATCAGGACACAGGCATGAATGAACAAAAGACTATTTCCTCTATGGATGAGAAAGCATGTATCGGTGTGGTGCAAAGTGAGACTAGCTGTATTTTCGTTATTTTCTCCACTCAGGTCAAAATAACCGCCTCGATTATTCAAGCCTTAAAATTGCCGAAGTTCCGAAGTCCAGAACACAAGAGTCCTGTCGCGTTCACCTCTTCAAGCATCTTGACCAACCAGACAAGCGAGTAAATGTTATCAGTTATCTTGGGTATGTAGATTTCCTTATGTACTTATCTTAGCATCTATGCGACATAAAGTTTAGTCAGTCATGAACATCAGGTGCAGTTTTCATCTCAATGTCATTAGTGTTCTAAACTAGTTGAGTTGCGACTGCTATTCTCATTTTATCCATACTCTATGGGTAGTCAACTTAATTTATATATACCCTTTAAAATTGAAGCAGCTTGGTTATGCTACAGTTCCACTTCCTGGTAAACTTCTTAGACATGCTTGGTGACTCACTTATAGTAAAGAGGAAGTATTATGTTCGGTTTTCACTTTCACCTCTTTATTATTCCTCTCTGTAAATGTAGGTCATATTTATATCTAAGTAAAAATGTCTAGTACTTCACAGGCTAGTGATTTGGCAGAGTTTCGTTCATACAATGTTGTTCATCTTGAGACATCCCCATTTATTGGTAATCACATGAAATCAAAGTATTCTGTTAAATAAAATGTAGCAGTTATTCCGTCTTTTCATGGTCTATGATGTGAAAAAAAGTTCGTAGTTAGCTTTAAGACCTCTAAGTTTTGTTCAGTGCAGAAAGTCGTTTGCAAGTCTGAATATCATTCCTTCATTGACCCATAAGGCGGTGAGTTGTTTTCAGATTACTTGTATAACTACCATGTCTGAATCTATTTTAGTGGTTCGAATAATTAGAATTGGTGTAGAACTACCCGATTTCAATATTGAAATATTTCCAGCATGTGTACATCATAAAAGTATGAATTGGTGACTCAAAAATGTCCTTTAATATGACATCTAAACCTCTGAGGAGTATACTCGAGTATTTTAGCTTTTGTTTCAGGGTCACTAGTACATGCTAACCTGATCAGTAAGTTGAAGTCAAACTTTGGCGACTGTTAGTTATATCAAATCAGTTCATTTCGTTTTAGTAAAGTTGATATATCTGAATAATGTTCACCAATTTTTACTAATGATCCCTAAGTGTTGTTTTTTTCATGTTATTCGCTTGAGCTGAAGTATTTTTATCAAAGTTGTCCCATTCACCCTATGCATTACCTTATTTTTCTTTATTCAGTTTAGGGACTCGTTCCTCAATCCATCCTTCATTCCTCACTCTGGGTGTCGATTTTGACGAAGATCGAATATGGGGCTCCAATGAGAAGTGTTTAGCGTTTTTGTCGTCATGTGAAGAACTCATACGTTCATTCATTCCGAAGTCACCTACCGAAAGAATGAACAATCACACTGGAACAAATGATGCTCTGTTTTGCCGGAGTTTCGGACCAGTTTTGCAAGCTCATGTAAACTTTCTTCAGCTTTGTCGTCCACTATCTGTTACGATACATAATGCATATCAGTATCTGAAGCAGACGCTTACTCGCCTAGATTCCGTGGAAGATTGGGATGAGGTATGATATTTTATGATTGTATGTTATACTCTTACAAATGTTTTTGGATTTCATGGTTTGCTCCCCATTGTTAACATTAACTGTATCACTTTCCTCAATCTCTCGCTACGACAAAGAAACATGGACTATGTAATTAAAAGATATAAATAGGCTTGAAGTGTTTGGTCATAAATGTTTTCGAAACATCTCTCACATATAGTAAAACCATCGAATTAGTAGTGCTGAGGTTAAGCCAGGATACTAAGTGAAAAGCGAGTCCATTGTTGAGTTTATAAACTTACGTTGACCAACAATTAGCAAATATGTTATGGATGGTTAACTAACTTTTACCCCAGCCTTCAGTGTTAACTGTGATATGAGTGAGTTAAGAAAGATTTATTGGTGAGAAAACCGAGACGACATGATTTCTCTGACTGATGGTTCGAGCTGTCATAAGTTCCAGACTTTTTGGCTGGGACTGATACAATAGTTGCAGCCAACATCATAATACACTTGGTTATCTACCCCAAAACCAGTTACTGCTAAGGTTACATTTATTTTGTGTATCCCTCTAAGTCGTTGGTTTATTATCATCTTTAGCTTCAGTCTTTAGTATCATTTGTTTCTTTTCAGCTGTGTTCCTCGTGTTTAGAATTCCTCTGCTTTCGATATTATCTTCCATAGTGTTTTTGTCTTGCTGCTTTCTCGCAATGATGTAAGGTGCACCAACTTGGACCAATGCATACTCGTGCCAAGTTTGATATTCATAATGACTAACTGTGGATGACTTGCATCCATGATCACTCAATGACTGACTGAAGCACAAATAACCAACACTGAAAAGTCAGACTTCCTTGGTCAATAATGTATAAGTTACTGAAACAACTTCACTTTTCTGTTCTGTACACTAGCCATAGTCCTTGACTTGCAGGAGAAAGTTGGCGTTCTATAGAAGCCTCTTAACTGTGTTATTAAACAGCATATCTGGCCATAAAATCATACGTCTGCCAGACCTTTATGGTTGGTAATATTGGTCGTTCCGAAGATGGTGGTAAGCTATCATGGGAAGTAACTACATCTAGTATTTTCAACGGGGTTATCACTGTTTGGTTAGTGTTTAACTATAACACCACTTTCTTTCATACAGATGTTCTTTAGTCGCTCTACGTCAAATAAGCAACATATTTTCATGAAATGAAATCCTTAACAAAAATCAAATGCCTGCTTTAGTAGTCTTGTTGCATAGTTGAGCTCTGGTTTGCAAATAATTGATGAGGTTTCTGTGCCCATACATATGTTTGTTCAATTTTTACTTATAGCGCAAGTGAAAAGTGTTCACGCTTATTAAAAAAGGAATGTATTACATAGTTTTCACTTTTCGTAGCTAATGTAAAACAGTCATTACAATTAGATGAGCTAATTTTATAGTTAGTGACAACACTATTCGAATTAACCAAAGTCACTGATAATTGTCTCAAGCTCGTATTACAAGGTTGAAACGACAATGTGTGGGTCAACGCCGAGTATATAAACCTGTTCTTGATAAGTAAGTTACATGCTTTTAAAAATTATTCTGGGACTTATTTAGAACATAACTGAACAACAACATTGATAAGGACGTAACAACTTTATAGCATTATAACCAACGTCAATCTATTTTTGTATATTTAGTGCAGAGGCAGTTTTTTATCAGCCATCGTCGAATTTAGACGTGGTTCAATTTACTTGGCAGGAGATGAGATTGTAGATCGTACAGTTAATTTGATTCGTTCTGGTGAATGTGTCTGTATATTTGGATATTCATCCTTGGTAGCCCGTGTGCTGGAACGTGCATGGAAATCTCCATGCAACACATCTGTCAATCAAGTTGATGCAAATGTTGATTTTTAGCGGACAAAATGAAAACATGTTTTGTAAACACTAAATCGGATCCATCAAATAAAACTGCAAACAGAGTTTTTAGTGTTTTGGTTGTTGACTCTCGACCGAAATTTGAAGGTAGACAAATGCTAACCAGATTGTTGAAAGCAGGAATACCATGTGAATATACACATATTGGTGCATTGCCAAGTGTTGCAAATAAGGTATGAATAAGTTTACTTTTGGATAATAGTGTGTAAAAATGTTTTACTAACCCTAATAATTTTCACTTCTGTGTAATTAACATATACATGTGTAATGGATAAGTTTTAACACCCGAAATTACCAAGCTTTTACTCTAAATACAAGCTTGTTACGTACTTTGAATAAATACATGAGTTAATCGTATTCAATCCGTTCACGTGTTCCTATCCGGTTCATATACTTTATCGCAAATGGTTGTTTAATACAGTCATATGATTTGGCTATCATCAAAGTGGGTACTCAAAAGTTAGGTATTATTATCGTCAGTTCACTCGAGGAAACAGAGACAGCAGAATATGCTTATAACACTACTCCTCCGACTTAATTTCAGAAACCAGTGTTTTGGCGCAAACTAAGAATACAAATAATTACCACGGTACCAAATTCCTTGGAGTTCAATTCTCTCAAATAAGTTGTCTTCGCTAAACAGAAAACTGTTAATCAAGGTTCTTTATTTTTATGTTAGGAATTCTGGTAGTATATTTCCATTTCGGGTAAACTTTAGTATCATCATTTCGAGTAAAACACGGATTAAAACTGAGTTTTTTGTTGATGAGAAACCAGGTTAAAAATATACAAATATTGTAATGACTTACTCCCCAAACTGAGAAGTTATCGTCATATTAAAGTAAGAACAGCTGAAAACAGTGAAATAAACGAATTCTGTCATATACTGCTTCAGTAATAATAACTTTTGGTTGATTGCTTTCGGGGAGAAATGTTTTGGTGCATATTGAAAGTCATTGTGGAAGTGCACCATTTTCTGTATGTCATAATATTCAGTAATCATGATGACTGGATTCTTCTACACTACTGTCTATTGCACAACTCATTGTAATATTGTGACAGCTAAAAGCTGACCTATAAGTTGTTTATCTACGTAACTAGATGGAAAATTAATGATCACTAAGGTTGGATAATTAGAAGCAAATCAGCTAATGAAGACAGGCGTGAACGACGTTAAACCTGACTCGAGTGTATCAATCCACAGTGTTGCACGTTACATTACTGACTGATGGAAAATTACATCAACACTAAGGGAATTAGATCAGAATGAGAAGTGTAGTATAACATCATTCAATACTCAGAAATATATAATGATAGTAGGATAGTACACATTCCAACTACCCCTGTCAACATAGGTTCAAAACCACATTAACTGATTTACCACCTTCATTCAAGATTTTTCTTAGTCATGTCTACATACCATATATTCCTCGATTACTCGTACGAGGATAAATTGCTGGAATACAATTTCTTATAAATTAAAGACATGTAGTGATACAACATACAATTTAGATTTAAATTATTACTAAATATTCCGTGAAAAATTGTTTCACTGGTTAATTTATTGTCGAGAGGTCTCATTATTTGTTGATAAAGCACTTACATGGCATAGCTTTTGTTACACAATCTAGATCTATCCTCTGGTACAAAAATGAATTAAGATTACTATACTGAAGTAAATCCCGACTAAAATTCATTTGTGTATGGTAAATTTATCTCAGGTTGATCTTTAATATACTGTCCTACTTTTGACAACGCCTGTTGGATTATTCTAATATGATTGAAAATCAAATTTGATCGTTGCAAGATATGTCTTGCGCTTCTGGTTTTCATTCGTTAACAGTGTAACATTCTCTTTCAAACTAAGTATTGATTACTTTTTATTTATTTTGATTTGAAATATAGATATCTCTAGTTATTCTGGGCGCCCATGCTCTTCTTAGCAATGGCTACGTACTAGGTCGTATGGGGAGCGCTCAAGTAGCTAACATTGCAGCCTCTATTTCTCATGCTCCAACAATAGTCTGTGCTGAAACTTACAAATTTTGGGAGCGCGCCCATTCTGATGCATTCGAGTATAACGAACTTGGAGATCCTGACGACATTTGGCGAGGTCCACGAGGTACATCACCAGACTATAAAAAGGGCATTCCTGGTTTCGGTCCAACTGGACTTCCAGATAGAATTGAATCTTCTACAACTGATTTGAGTGAATGGCGTTCAAATTATAGTCTTAGACTGTTACATTTAGAATATGATGTGTTACCGCCTACATTGGTTACAGCTGTAGTAACTGAAAAGGGCACCTTACCTACAACCTCTGTTCCTGTAGTCCTGCGAGTAAAACAAGCTTCTATAACCAACGTGTAATTTTTTTATTTTTTACATTTTGTAAAAGTCTACTTATTTGTTGTTATGATTTGGTATTGTAGGTGTATTGAAATGCAATAAACGCACAGTATTAACTCTCACTATTTTGCTATAATTCGACTAGCGATTATACTCGGTTGTTCGGACCAAATTTAGCAAATATTTAAGGTTTAGGTTAAATATTGGTTAACTGAATTAATCCTTTTTACTCATTGCACAGCGAAGAGGTAAGTTTAACCGGTAGGTTTTTTCATTCCTAACTACATTGTTTAGACTCTTAGAAGTGATTTCATCAGATATCCGTTAATTAAAAAATTGCAACATTTGCATCAAGATAATTGATTTTAAGCCAGTAGTTATGTTATCCTAGCAGGCTATATTATCTCCAACACTTACTCCTTAAGTTTCTACTATCCCTGGCAAGTCGGTTAAAGAACAAACGAAGAAAATCTCAGACTACATGACTAAATCATACTGTGGAGGATACCTGACTGTATTGATACTATTTTTTTAAACAAACAATCAAGGTTTTTAGCGAGTCTATTTTTTCTATAACAGAATGAAAGGTTGAAAAAAGACTACAGGTATAACATTGAGTTGAAAGACAAGACTTTAACTTGTGTACTTAATTGCAATTAATAGTTGTTTGTTATCTGTTCGGTCGAATGGCGCCGTAAAAGATCGAGGGGAGTACTGTCATTTGTTATTTCCTAAGGCGCTTTCACTAATTACAGCTGAACCAAAGTAATACGAGGATTCTTCCTAAAATCTCATGCACATGCGTATGTAGCAATTGTTATAAGCGACCTTATTGCAAGTTGACTAAACTGTGCAGGAATACATTGAAGTATAAACTAAGGTATTCCAAACCAGTGAAAACTAATTAAAACTAACTTCTGTTACCCGTATGTTCCTAAAAAAATGCTAAATTTAGACAGGAGCAATTTAACGTGACAAACTATAAGCACACAGACCTTAAACAGTGGGTTTGTTCTTTAACTTAATGGCGATATTCAGATTTGTTCGCCGAGCGATTTCTTGACAATTACTATCATTCGAATATGCATTGAGGACGCTCATTCTCTTTTGTTTTGGGAGTAGTATTCCCATCACTCAATCTTTCATGAATTTGTTCTTCACTATGTGACTTTCTGTGCACACAGAAAGCTTCATCGTTTCTGTTAGTGATGTTGTCGTAAGCTACAAGTATTTGACCGTACGCACATTCAATGTATTGCTCTCATATGGTGAAACGATAGTTTTGATACCCTAAGGTTACACATAGGGTACTAGGTAAAGTTGGTTGATGTTTCGAACTTTCGTTGACTGATAACGCTAGGACATTTATTACGTATCCCAGGTCATGGCCTACCAATACACTATGTCGACTGGTCATAGAAGCTGTATGTTCATTCCCATTTTCTCGTAAAGCTGAGGATATCTTAGAAAAACTGAAGATGTTATCTGTTTCTTGACAATTTTTAATGATCATACGTATGGATGATAACAAATTAGGAGTAGAAGTTACTCCTGTCTGAAATGTGGTCGTTTTACCGGTAGATTGAAGAGGCTGGGATTAATTTTTTCTCAGTCTTTGTAGTAGTTGTTTCAATACAACACTTGAGAGTACTATATATTGGCTCATGTAAGCTGAGAACAATTACGCTAATTGTAATCATATAAACCATCCATTCATCCTGTTCGCGGCCATCGTAGAGATCTAGCTTGGTGGTTTAATTACTCGATTTTCCTTCTAATTGTGCTTTGGTTTGAGTGGTTGGGTTGACCGAATTCTAGTAACTTGCCGTTCAAGGTTGCAGCAGTGGCATAGATTCTAGTTTAATGATGTCCTCTTATAGTTGTCATGCTTATCCATCATTATGTTCTTCATTTGCTTAAAAGATTTTACCATTTGTGGGGAATCGTATGATTTTGTTCTGCGTTCAATTCTCTGCTGTACATATAAAGATCATAGGGTGTCTTGTTCAGCTCAAAGAAACGATATTGCGAAACAGGCCTAGGTTATTTATTGCGCCTACATATTTTAGATGTTATCAAGTGAAAATTAATATAAAAAAATAACGTAAAACACCATAGTAGTTCGTTGATCATGCTACAAGATATATTTATTCTCACAAACTAACCGTAAAATATCCAATTAAGCAAAGCTTCTGACACCTATCAAACAAGCGTTCACTTTCCTCAAATGCTTTCACACGTTACATGGCATAAATTGTCAAGTTGGTCTAATGGTAAGAGATCACATCACCCCCAAGTTTCACCAATCAATAGTACATATTGTTCTAAAGGTTGTTTTGGAGAGAGTGTAGGACGGAATTTACTATGCGAATTTCTATTATAAGTTTACTTTTCCAAAGATGGGTAGCAACTTTGTTTAAGTTGTTCAATCATACTAATATCTTAACTACTTAGTATGTTTGTTAGTAACTTGAGTAATTTGACTTAAAATGTTTTACTTTGGTGGGGGCAGAAATGACGAGATCTAAGTCGACGAAACCGGGTAATTTGATATTTCTACTTAGAAATCAATGCCTACACCAAGACTATTCTCTTTTTGGATAAGCCATACTCCAGCGCCTCGTCCAAGACAATGTGGTCAAACGCTTTTTTACAATCTAGTTGTAAGGCCGAATCTTCCTCTACCTACATCGATTCCAGCAGAGGCGTTTTAGCGAAAATCGTCAGGCCCCAAGGTATAGGCTTGTATATGATTGGTGACTTGCATTAAATTAAATACACTCTAATTGACCATTTCAATCGTAATCTTCTGAATAGAAAAATAGAACACAGTTACTGAGCTAAGTGATTTATAGTTATGGCTAAATTAGTTGATTTATATCAATCAATGAGAAATTTTAGTTCATATCTGATTATTGACAAGTTCCAACAGAAAATCTTATTCGTCATACTATCCAATAACTTAGTCGAATATCTTTGCTAAAAACAGTCTATAAAAGTATCTTGGATTCCGGAACACTGATTACTGTTCACCAAAATGTTAGTGTATTTAGTCCAATCCAATAGTGCATCAATCGTATTACTCATAGTTCAGAAAAAATAACTTTGACTAGTAGATGTTACATGGTCTAGATTTTTGAAAGAGTACAGTTTCCGTCGACATTCCAAGTATTTCCGATTTTGGGACAAAATAACGCACAAGTGTTGATTGATTGCCATCTATTACGAATACTGATTGTAACCATTTATATTATTAGTTTAACAGTCTGATATTAATAAACATGAATCTTAAAGCGCTTCACTTAAAACAGCGATGGGCATAATGTAAATTGTCACAAAGATTGGGAGCTCTGTAAATTTCTATAATCCTTTCTTTAGACACATCAAAATAGACAATTATGAAAATGTATTCTTGTATTAATCATGGACAAAAAAGGAAGATAGTTAACTTCTATTGAAGGAAAATGAGAGAAAAATTTCATCAATTTTATTCATAATCGACAGATGGTGATTTTATCTACCAACCAAGGTAAATAACAGACTTATTTTCTAACTCTTCGTGTTATTTGTTCTCTCAAAATAGAGTTTGTTCTTGTTTGCAGTAGTTGTAGCAATAGTAATAATGATAACAGTGATAATATATTTGATGTTTACGCCAATCCATTACCAGGTGGTCAATTTAATAAATCGAATTCAAGTATTCCTTCACTCTCTTTCTAACCTTTCCCACCCCACCTTCCGCCACTTAGCTCGTAGATATACAAGTTGACTACTAAGATGAACACTACTACTAATCTCAAACTTATATAAATTATGATTATTAACTTTTTTTGATTATCATTTGATTTACTATCCCATGTATTTACATACTGCTTCGTTTCTTTCAGGTAAATGTTCGTATTTATTCGAATAAATGCATATATAGATAACTGAACAGATATACTCCCGTGAACAGGAGAATCGGTGTATCTTCTCTACTAGCATGAATACTTAAGATGATCAGGAAGCAGTGTGTTGTTTAAAAAATAAACATAACCTGAGCTCATATATTCAGTTGGTTGTAGACTCCAGGAAGATAAAGCAACTATCCAGTGCTCAGTTGTTTTCAACAGTTTTGAAATGATATCGGTCGATGCTGAAGATTAACTTAACTTCAAACTGAGCAATATCCGAAACTACCTCACTCAAATAATTTTAATTATTTGCTCTCTGCTGACTAGTTTCAATATGAATTCCTGATATTCAAATGAGCAACAATAACTGATGACGTTAAAGTACATCTAAAGTATGATAGATATCACTGACTTCACTACATGATTGTTGCACAGTATGGCAACCTAACTAAACTTTTAAATGTAAGTTATCTAATTCCGACTTAAGGGTCTAGGTTTATTCTGATAGCCATGAGAACTGAAAATTATTCGCTGATTCAAGTGAAGCGTAATAGGTGCTCACTATTAACCGAATACCTTCGGCTTTTAATTAGATTAACTTCCACATTCTAGTTTAGATTTCACATTATCTGGTAAGTGTTAGACCATAAGTCTTTTAGTTGTAAAGTATTTTGGAGATTTATATGTACAGAAGAGTATATGAACAGGATACATGGGACAAAGGAACCTAAATATATGTGATGAGTTTGAAACACAATTGATCTGTGAGGATTTAGTACTCTATCGTATTGTAGTACCACGTAAAACTGGATTTTAGCCTTGTAAAGAAATATACATCTAGTCAGTGAGTTACATCTTGCTTTATGGAAAATCAATAAAACTTGGGATTAGTCACTTGTTATTCAAAATGTTAGTTATCCATTTAAAATAAAACTAACATCAAATTAAAGTGTTTCTGCCAATATTGGTAATCTAAAAACAGGTCAAGATAGAAATCTATATGATTATATTGCTTGAAGAAATTGTGAATAATTCTCATTTTTACTATTCAATTGTAATATTACAAAAAATGTTATTTATGTATGATGTTCGTGTTGATATTCATTCAAAATAAATTTTTAAACATGCAACGAATTGATGATGCTGTTGGGAAGTGTTCACTTTTGTACTAAAATCTGCTCAAACATATAAAAGAAAGAGAAAAGAGAATGCATTTTATCCCATTAACTTCATTGTTAAGAAAAAAAGTAATGAGACTGGTTCATAAATAGAGGACTATTTATTAACCAGACTAATTGCTAATGACGAATTTATGTAATACTCAACAAGATATGTAAGAATCCTCAATCTTCTCCTTCTACAATATTGATCATTGAGTTCTATTAATTAACATTTAAAAACCATTAAAACTTTATTTTAATTCCAAAAAGCCGATTCGCCGATACATTTCAGTTCTTCAAATTGTAAGTCAGAACCTTTACTTAAATGTAGCCGTAAAAAACTCAAACTTAAGCCTCCACAGTAGCATTAATTTGTATTTATACATCTTTTTATATAACATCTTTACTTGACCATTGGATGAACTGATTTTAATGTCAATTCCCCTTTAAATTATTCTTCAACTTAAATGTTGTACCTCCAAAAGCTTCGTTTCAAATTTAAAATCTTATACATTTTGTCAATTCAAATCATGTTTGTCATCAACTTTTCCAATATCGTAGTGTTGTTGTTGCCAACACTATTGATCTTGTCATGTTTTTATCAAATATAATCCTCAAATTTGATTGACATTATTTCCATTTGTGTAGTTAGTTTCCAATCAAAATATATTTCAATGAATGATTTTTACATAATCATCTTTTAATTTCTGGAGCATTCTCTATTAAAACAACAATGTCCTTTCTTATTTGCTTGTCATGACTTCCAAATGGTTACTAATTAACTGACTACTTATTTTTATTTATTTAAACACATAAACATTGGTACAAGAATGCACCACATAAATCATTCGATTTGTGTGAGGACTGGATACTGCCTGGGTGTCCAAAGCGAAGCAGGTTGTTTTCTTAGGGGCCATACCCGGGGCTTTCGACCTAAAGGTCTGATCCTCAAGGTAGTGGAGCAATGTCAGGAGATGCAGTCCCATGGTCGTCGGCGACCAACAATAGGTTCATACGCCTTTTGTTCCCTCAGAACCCTGGGGCCCATGTGCACCATTGGTTTGGAATCAGGGTTTCCCAATCTCCCCAGGCGAACCCTCCGTGTCCACCAACCCAGTTAAAACGCCGAACATTCGCTTTTCGTCCTCTCGATTTCGTAAACAACACCCGTGGTGCGAGAAGGCAGTGAGTAGGACTTCCCTGGTACTGGCTGTATGCACGTGGCCATGTGAGAGCATTTCAAGAGGGAGAGCTGACTCTCCCCACCCTCGGCCGTACCAGGGCATTTGGGGGCAATTATGTTTCTAGGCATACATCACTAATACATATCTTAACAATTAAGAAATCAATAGTTCTCTACAAAAGGTTTTATTAGCGTTTTCGACTATTCTGATCTAGAGTTAGATTTAGAAACATTTTTTTAGTCATATGAATTATAAATGTCATCAAACATTTCTATCTAATTCAGAATTACCGTTCATTTCATCTGGCATTGGTTGTATGCACGTGGCCATGTGACAGCATTTCAAGAGGGAGGGCTGACTCGCTCCACTCTCGGCCGTATCAGGGTACCTGGGGGCAACTAGTTGACTAGCCAATGATTGATGCTTTTTCAGATGTATATGTTATTTTCAAAGATTGGAATAGCCATGACCCTACTCAACCTTCTTCAAAACAAATATATTATAGACGGTTCATATTCGTTGGAATGGTATTTGTCCCTAAATTTTAATACATCACAAACTTACTCAAAATTTGATCTAATTTCTGTAAGTTTTATCTATGTATACAGTTTAAAAACTTGTAAATAAGTACAAATATATTTTAATAGTTGAATTCATGAGTCAATTGAAACTAAATCACCATAGAAAATCTGAAAGCACTGGACGGCAGTTTCATCATAGTATGAGACTCCTCAATAGTACGCACCAACGATATTTAGTGACTTTCAACTTAATAACTTTTAATTAACCATGGGTAGTCTTTGTATGGAAATTACTTCATTTTGTTCGAAAAAAAAATCAGATTAATTATTACCGGAAGTAGAATTTAAATTACCAATATGGAAAACAATTAGTTTGTATATCTATCATCATCAGGTGAAAGTATATATATAATCTCTTCAATGTTTCAGCAAGCGATGTGATATTATACACTACTCATAATTATCATTATTTGTGCATTCATTTATATTTTTTCAGGTAGTCGCTAATAGTAATTATCAAAAATTGTAAGCGTAGTTGTTGCAGTAATAGCGTTTTGATAATAATTATTATTATTGTTTTTATTATTAAAGGTAAATATTTTACTTCCGGTGAACGAAATAGCAAAAAGACTTTTTACTGCAGAAATAGTTTTATCTATAAATATTAAACATAAAAGAAATTACAAGGTATACCCACACAGTATATATGTTCATATCGAAGTTTAAAAACTTGGATGTAAAATGTTGAAGAGCTAATCGTTATGTACACAACCACTGATCAATCAGCCGATGCAAAGGAAGATATTGCACTAGTAAATTAATTAATTTGAAAACTGGATTTCTTCCAAGTTTGGAAAATAGTGGAGTAATATCTTGAAGTCAATACAAGTACTGAGATTTAAATTAGAGATAAATTACTGAAATTCTAATGATGGAGTCCAAGCATGTCATGAATTAAATTATTATTATCGATTTATGATGAATGAGTCGTAAAGTACCATAAATTGACTGAATTTAGAAATGTGAACACTAAACCTCAATTTAGCAGTCTAACAGTAATCCTCTCACTATGAAAATGAAAAATCCTAGGTTCGATCTATAGTTAAGTAGTGGATCTTTCTGTTTTTCATTTATTCGTAACGTAAACTACACTTTGAACAAACTCAACACTCCTGAGATTTAACAGGTATACTTCCATTACGCTTATCATTTAATAAAGAGGAACTACTATTTTCTCTGGATCAAACTTTTGATATTCGTATATTATACTTTCAACTTAGCGCATATTAAATTTATTTATTTGAGCTACATCTCACCATAATTCAATGATATTTATTGGTAGCACGGAAGATTTCTTAGTTCATCTACTTATGAGTCGATAATACAATCAACAAATATTTCAAAAAGAAAATTATTCATTAAACATGTTTATTGTATTCCACATTGTCTGAAGATGACTGGTTCGATTAATTAATCTTTAATTGGTGAATATTGCCAAGTCACTAGATTGTAAAACTTGACAATTATTCAAAAAATTTTAGTCTTTAAATTATTCTTCAAGTTATGTTTATGTTATCATACAAAACATTTGAAATTTCTTCTTACCTAATAAAATTGAACTCTAATCAATCATTTAATTTAGTTCCCTTTCATTGTCTGATATCATAATTAAAGTGATAAGAGGTTATAACTACTGTTTCGTTCTAAACATTCTCATCATCCGCTGAATAGTACTTGGAAAAGTTTGAAGACATTATGATGTGAAATTTTTTTTCTACCAAGTTATCTTTTATTTAATATCGACTACCATTAATCAAATTCTTTCATGTATATCTGTATTCATTATCTTTCTGACCTTTCTCTCCATATAAATATATATAACGCTATTTATAGGCATACAAATATACCAACATCTGTTAACCAATTTCTGTAGTATATAGGAGTAAAAGATAATTGTAAAATCAAATGAAAAATGAGTATTTGGTGGGAAAATCTAGGTAGATTCTCTAGAAATAAAACCCAGATATGAAGCAGACAACCGTACCCTTGACATTAGAAGTGGTCATTTTTCGAAGTTTATCCTACTTTTCTGTGTTGTATTGTGGTGGTTTAGGTTCCTTACATTAAATCAAC